AATTAGTGGAAGCGTGGGTCGTGGGAGGCACGAGAGCAAGGTGTGTAAGGTAGCAGGTTGCCGGGGCAAGGAAAGAAGAGAAAAAGAAGAAAGGGGAGAAGTGGAAACGAGAGGTCTGGGCCACGTAAACGGCAGTGAGAGTGAATGGATCGATGAAACCGTCTCGTCGCAACGGCCGCCATCGCCAAAACATCCTCCCGCGGGCCAAAATCTCATCCTTTTTCCCTTTAAATGGCCAATCATTTGCCAAATTACTGTGTCGTCGAGCTTCGTTAACTTCCAAATATAACAGCGAATTCTTAGGAGGGACGCAGACGATTAAATTGCAAATAAGGAAGTTAACTTTGCGCCGAGTGTTTGCCGATACTCTCGTGTTCATTTTTTCGTGAGCGTTATCGGCTCGTACGTGTTTCTCGTGTCGCGTGTTGTAGAGCGAAGACCTTAGAAGACGATGCGCTGTCAGTTGCCGCGATTATGAGCTATGCTCATTGCCAATTTATCTCGTGTCATGATCACAACGTTATGCTCCCAACACTTAAGGTTGTTGACCCGACCACGTTGCGATGTTACCAAGACTTTCGACTCTTTCCTATCCGACCTTAAGATTTGATCGTTGAAAATTGATATCTATTATCAATCATTAATCGACGATGCGACGCTATCTGGTTAAAAAGTGGTAACAGTCCACTGGAACGCGTTAATTTTTTCAATTTCTATTTTCACGTGATTAACCGACATAAATAAAAGACAAGAGGCACAAAGAATCTACTGTGTAGAAATCTACTGCGAAAGTGAACGGTCCTGCCCGAGTTCTCGTGGACTTTCTACATCAAAGAGAACCGATTCGCGCTGTTTTGCATAGCCGCGCGACTCGAAATGCATCATCATCACCCTAACAACGATTTAACCGTGACTTCTGGCAAGAAACCGCTTCTGCTCGTGCAGCTTTTCTTCTTGGAAACGCTTTGCAAGACGCGCGTAGTCCCTTAGCAACGCTCCAGTCAAGCTGCTGCATTTTCCTGATCGTTTGATTAATTATGGGAAACAGGGAGAGGCGATCGTTCGAACCTCTTTGCGATGAAAGGTGTCGATGTTTCTGTTAACAACGATCGTGGCCGTATTATGGCACAAAGAGGTGTATTGTAACGCGTTACAATGCCTTTACAGTGTAAAATTGAATGCGTTGCTGCAGTATTTAGCTTTCGTTCGAACGGTTTTCCTTTTATCAATTGCAAATAATTTTCTAAGGGAACAGTGTTAATGGTTCTGATTTTGCTTCTCGCAAGCATGCGTCGACGGTGTCGAACGCGTTAACCGATCGCGCGATACACCTGAGTAGAATAAAAAACAACGTCTTAACGGCAACGCGGTGAAGAAAGATAAGATCGTTCGAGCGACGATGACATAATCGACCAGTGTGTGTATGCAAATGATTGTTCTTGAAGAGCGCGCACGATTCTGCCCACGGAAGCGCGGTGCGCAACGCGGTTCTTGCAGAAGCGGGAAAACGATTACGTCGAAAACGCGTTATTCAATGGGATTGATGTAGAGATATGATGCAAGCTTAGAAATGAGTATGATTATGCTCATCTTCGGTGTTGTAAACCTTCCTTGAAGAAAGATGAGCGGAGTCTAATAGAAGAGATATCTTATTGGGAAATTTCGTGTAATTTTCCGTCTTAGTATGATTAAAAATTGAGAGCTCATCGACATATCTGTGTGCCGTCTTTATAGCTGAAAATATAGAGAAATGTAAGATTTGAAATGAAGCTCTCTGATTGTACATATATCTTTCTTGAAAGATACAACAACAAAAGACTAAGACTCGTGAAAGATCTCTCATTGTTGCACGAAATGTTCAATTCTATGGAAATTTCACCGTGAAAGGAGGATACACGAACGATTTCGTGATGAGAGACGATCCATGGTATGTTTCGATGGAAAACGCCGGTTCGGTTTTCAATCTGACCTAAAAATTAACGTAAATTTCGCGAAAGCAGCTTACACGTTCCAGGCAGGCGCGTTTGCGAATCGATCTCGAGCAGCACGCTCAGCATTTTCGCGACTTAAGTGGCCGTACAAGCCTTTCGGAGAGCAGACGAGAAGAAAAAAATCTATGCTCTGATGCCGGGTGCGGCGGAGGAGTGGAGAAAAGTCACTCGTAAGAGAGATTCCTTCAGTACACTCGATTTCCGACCACTTCGGGATAATTGACTCGACTCCAGACGCTTTTCAGACCTCGAATTACTTTCAGTTTCGAGGAAAACGAGCTTTCCAAATCTTCCTCGAGAATGCTCGCTTTTTAACCCTCTGAGGCCCGTTTAAGAGAACATAGTATTCCTATGAAAATATTGCAATTACAATGAAGCTACTAACGAATCTAAATTGATAGGCGACGACTGTCACACATACGTAGGCAATATAAATTAATTCTAAAGTTAAAATTTGCAATATCTCTCGATTAGAACTTCGAAAAGACTTGACAAAAGAAGTCGAGGAAAATAGGAAAAAGAAGGGTTTCTATGTCGACTTGTTAGACTGAAAGCAGAAAGTTTCGTGTACAAACTGACGAGATAGCTTCGGTCTTATACACGAACGCTTCAACGACGAAGAATTCGCGAATCTGGGACAGTTTGATCGATAATGGCGTAAACCTGGCCGCGGCAATTCCAGGAATGGCAACCTAATTGGATCCTCCTTAAATAAGTATTTCAATTTATCCGCAACGCGCTGGTTACACGGTCTTTTGCAAACAACTGCGGATACTTAACGAATCCTTTGATAAAACTAAATATTCGTTGCTATTGCGGGAAATTGACAAACTTTGACGTACACTTGATGTTTGTTAATTTTGCAGGACCAACGAATATTTATAGTAATACCGATATCGAAGTGAATCTTTGGGAAATGAGAAAATTTCTATCGGAAAGGAAACTGTAAAGAATTAAGTAGTAGAATGTTAAATTAGGGCCGACCAGTAAAGTGGTGAAACGTTGCGTTTGTTTTCTCGGACTCTATTTGGATTTCGCGAGCTACTCGTTCAAGGTCACACGTCGTCTGCAGCATTCATAGTGATGCACCAGCGTGTGTTCTGCATCGTCGTAAATCGATAAACCACGGCAAAAGGATTAAACTTTCCGTATTAGAACCGCAAATTTTTCTTTGTTTTTCCTCTACAGTTTTTACAAATTAACGGGACTATTTTCAGCTACCTTTATATCAAGTCTTCTTTCCTATAAGATATAAAATGATGTGTTAACAATGGATAACAATGATTATACAGTCCAAGTCGTATATCGTGGTACAAATTAGATAAGGGAAATTCTATGGCTTAAAATGAGTCGAAATGATAGAATTACTTTATGTCGTTCAAACACGTGATTTGTAATTTAATTCCTCGTTCAACGATAAGCAGTCGTGCAGCATGTAATTTAGAAAAAACAATTGCCACCGTCCCACGAGGAGAAGTAACTCAACTCCGAAATAATTGGCTTCAATTTAATTCAGAGCTTTGTTCTCGCGCGAATATCGATGCACGATAAACTTCTCTAAAAATTCGTTAACGCTTCGTTTAAGAACGTTTATACACGTTTACGTGCACCGTGATCAATTTATACTGAACGCGTCGATGCGTGAATTTAAATCGATACGCGAGAAATCTCGATGCCCATCGAGTCTCGAAACTCGTCCACGCGGGAAGTTTGAAAATTTACAATAGTCATTCCTCTTTATATCAAATGTGATTTTTAATCATAAAACAATGTTTATCCGTCTAATATTAATTGGAAAATATCGATATACAGATGACGCAAGGTATTAAATGGATATTTATTTTATCCGATCTGTTCGATACGGTATCGTATTTAACGATGCTAAAATCGATGGTATCGATTTCGGGTATCGTTCCTATCGCTAGCAACAGTCAATGCATATAACAAAATTTCGCTAACAGTAACTTCACGAAAATGGCCTTGAGCAACGCGAGTCACATTTGGATAGGTTATAGTGGAACTAGTAGTATTGCTCCAGCAATAGAACACGTGACAAACGTTGCTGCGTGGCACGTGCACGTAACAACAAATCGGAAGTAGCAAAGTTACGTCACACCGTAGCAGCAGGTACGCGATCATGAAATTGGCTTTCAGGCGTAAAGACGCTACACCACAGTTGAAATTACCAAACGAGAAACCTTACGAACAGCTAGTTCCGTGTCGCGTTATTCAAAGAATTCGCGTTAAAATCGCGAAAATAAGCTTCCAAGATAAATTTGAAACGATTTATTTTAGCGTGACTTAACAGCTCACCAAAATGCTAATCCTCGTTGAGAAGTATCGCACAACAATCGAAGATCGATATATCAAATCGACACGGAGCATGGTCACTCGATATCCGGGGGCACTTTTTACGGGGGTTAAAGAAACGAGAAACTCGTTTCAAGATGAAGAAAGCTAGTACAAATTTTAACGACATCGTAAAAAATGGTTATTTTAGGAATCCTATGTAAGAAACGAGTTAACGCCGTAGGAAAATGAACATTAACTATAACATGTAACGATATTCGTACAACTAAATTTAATCCAGCATTGATTAAACTATGCCGGTGTAAATGATCTCCCTTAGACTTTTGGTAGTCTTGTAACAACGAAACTCGATCCGGAATCGAACGGGGTAAGCGGTAATTATGAATACGTGACGATGTTATAAATGGCGGTAGCAGAGGATGCTGACTTTTATGAATATTTTCTTCACTATTTTTACTCTGACTAAACGGATGAATAGAACAGAATAAATATATGCACATTTCTTAAAGTGAAAACGTATAAATCACCCAATTGTCACGAACGTCGAAATTACCCATAATTCTGTTTCGAATTTATGAATAAAAATTTCGTGTTAACGAACACGCTTCTATAATACGCACGTACGGTTGTTCCGCTCCAAAGCACGGTATCAATCGATAACATCCACAAATAAATCGCAAAATAAGGGATGAAACTGACAAGTGACATACCGTGGCTGCTTCTTCGAGGAATCGACACTTTTCTCAATATAGTTTTCTTCGATTTTGCCTGGTCGTCATTACAGCACAATAAAAGATGAGGCACAAATATTAACACTCGTGTCACGTACGAATATTGTTCCTTCTTGACATGTTTATTAGTGTCTTTGATTCACACGCCGCGACAAACGTGAAATAAAGATCAGCGAAAACACCGCGAACCGGCTTACGCGACCAACGACCGCACCTCTGAAGCTTGCAGTAGCAAACTGGCATCTCTCGTGCAGCAAACTTTCGTGTAAGGGCGCAGCACGCGCTCTGATTGGCCGAGAGTCGCACGGATAAGCCAATCGTGATCGATCGTTCACCGAGCGTTGACCCCCCTTTCCCACTCCTCGTATCATAACAACATTTCTGTTTGGTACCGTGTTGAAGGGTAGAAAGCTTACCCGTAAGCAAGGAACACGTATTGAACACACGATTTAAAATAAATTTAAAACTAAATTAATTAAACGTATCTTCTCGATTTTACCAAGTTACATGGATAACTGTCGTTGCTACGAAACTAAGAAAATACGGAGCCACGATCGAGTATATATTAGGTGAAGGCGCATGCGTTCGCTTAGATCATCATGGTTACGATGAGCGAGAGGAATCGCGCGTATCTTTTTACTTGTTAAAAAAAATTTATCAAGTGATTCACAATAAAATTACATAAATATGAACCATAAAGTATGGTTTTTCTTTCTATATATGTACCGTATAACGACACGTTATTGTTCATTTAAAATGTTTAATAAAAAGTTTGAATAAAATTTGTACTTACCTGGCAAACGATAAACACCAGATAAGAAAAATACTTTTGACAATGGAATACATTGCTACGATCGCTGAATTTTTGAAAGTACTGCACGCAACCAGTGTTGGCGACAAATTTTTCGTAAAGACCAAACTTCTTACGATAGTATCTCTTCCATAAATAGTCCGACAATAAAATTTCACCGTAGTAATTTCGTAAATTATAAACAGTATCTTCAGATTCGTATGGTTGTACAATGTAGGCTAAACTTGAGATTATTTTGTGCAAAATTGACATGATATGAACGATGACTTGAAATCATCACTTTATCTTCACCCATTTTATTAACATAGATCTACGATATCTTTCTAAAATATTTCATTAGTGAATGGAAAATACTTTGATATGAACCAACAATAAATTTTCAGTCAAGTTTTGTGCTATTGAACACCATAGCATTAATAATCAAATGGAGTAATATGAACTAATTAACACAGAATTACACTACAAATAAAACAACTGATCAATGTATAATTTGATAAAGCACATACTTCAAATAGTTAAATAACAGTTAAAATGTAACAGACACATTTAATTTTTTTTACAAAATTTTTTGTAGTTCCTACATATAAAAAAGAATTTCATATCATGTATTTTACATTCTTATTAAGAATTAATGTCAAACGAGGCTATTACTTTTGATAAAAATTTAAAAATAGTGAAGAAATTCAGTTTTTTTAAATTTTCACTGAAAAATCTACATCAAAATTTGTCGATTAATTGCAATATATGTTGTTGTTCTGTTTCTCTCCATTCTGAATCGCCGGCATCGCCAAGATTCCCAGCGTATTCTGATAAAATAACAAATGAACCCATGATAAATCAATTATTAATGTATAATATACTTTATAAAAAGAATTATACCTCTCATGATGTGCCTAATAGTTTTAAGGGACGCCCTTCTTTGAGCTAAAATTCGCGTAACTCGCTGTTTCACTTGTGGTGGACAACCAGTACACGCTTCTAATAATACATAATCCACTAATTGCAAAATAAACAACCCGCCGTCTAACCTTCTCAGGTACGATTCTTCTTCATCTTCATCTTCTTTTGTATTTTTTTCAACTTCTTCCACTTTCTCAAGATATTTAAAATGAAGTTCCATCAATCTATCGACTTTCTCGTAATCATTTTCAGTAAATTTACTCAATAATCTTTGACGCTGTTGCCCTTTACAATTTCTTAACATACTTGCTATAATTGACACTACATGTTCTATTACGAAAAATAAATATTCATTAAAATATCATAGGACTGTTATAAACAAGAAAGTAATTAAAAATATATACCTTCGTGTTCTTCTGCAGTTAGCATCCTTTTCCTATTTTTTGTTGGTGTTTTCATGAATAAAGGAAATATAGTTCTTAATCCAAGAATATCCACAAATTTGCTGCAATTATCTTTGCCATCTGGACCGTTCATTGCATGATCTAATACCTGGAATATGATATAATCTATTAATACTTGGTCTACATTGTATTTTAATCTGTACCTTAAGAGAACCATTTCTTGACATTTTTTTCTCTCGTAGCATTAAATTCATAAGTTGTAGTCCTTCTCCTCTTAAGAATCTATCTCTATTTACAGTTGCCATTAGACTTGAACATAGTACATTAAATAAATTTTCCATCATTTCTTGTTCCTCAGCGGTTTGAGGATCATGCCGTTTATAATACTAAAAGTGGTAAAAATTACCAAGTGATTTAAAATAAATAAAAAATAGTAAAAAAAAAATACAATCAGACATACTGCTAATTGTTGCAGTAGCACATCAATTCCATCAAGTTCACCAAGAAGTAACCTGTTTTCTGGTGTACTTTGCAAAAGAATAGACAAAAGTTCGCTAGCATAAAGTTTATTAGCATCAAATGGTGTTTTTGTTTTGATTCTTCTTAACAACCACTGCATCAATCCTTGTTTTCCTGCATCAATGCATAAGTCAGGCCTAAATTCCAAAAGATTTTCAAAGATAGCTGAAAAGAATACATATAATATTTTATTATCCTTTCAAAAATAATAATTTCGAATTTATTAATAATGCATTACCCAATGTGTTATAAACACCATCACTTTCTTCTTTGACTGATTCATCCAATCTTTCTAAATTTTGTACAAGAAGAGCACAGACTTGTTGCTCTAGTAGAGCATCAATAAGTGTGTCTGCACCTTCTTGGCTCTCATGTAAAATGTCTACATCCGTTAATTCTTGTAAAAGATCTACAACACCAACTGCTATATCTGTGTTCTCATGAGATAGTAATTCAAGCAGAGAAGGAACAGCACCTAACTCTACCATCAATGGATAAAGATCTGGATTAGTAGCAACAACATGAAGCTCTTGAAGTGTTTCATGTAACTCTACTTCTGATTCCATAAATCTGTTAAAAGTATGTTTCAGTTTACATTTGAACATGAAATTTATTGCTTCGTCTATCCTACTTTAAAAATAACATACTTTTCTGGTTGATCAGGAAACTTGACCCTCATTTCTTGATTTCTGAGTGCTCTTTTTTCAAATAATAAGATCATTCTTTTAAGTGTTGCTTCATCTAATGCTTCTACTTCAGGTGCTTCTGTTTCTACATATTTCAGAATATCTTGCTTCTCTTTCTCTGTCAACTGTGGTTCAACCACATCATTTGCTGGTGATGGTAATGCAGCTCTAATAGGTGTAGGAGGTTCACTACTTCTAACTGGTGTAACTTCAACTTCCTTTGCCTGTCTTTGACGTGGGTGATAAGGAGTTTTGATTACCCTTTTTGGTTTCTTAGCATTTTCCCATTCATCTTCATCATCATCTTCTCCTGCAATTGGTCTTTTTGGGGTATTTGGTGGCTGTAAATGTTAATATTAGATTAGTAAAACTTAAGAGTAATGTAAGTTTCATATCATTTCACTATAAACATACTTTGTAGGAGAGTAATTCACCAATATCCATTTGTAAAAATATTTGATTCCTTCTTAGAACAAGATATCTGTAATATTAATCCAATTATTAACCTCATTTGATATATTCCATTATTATGTACAACTGAAAACTCACTGATAAGTAAGGATATACTTGATATTAATTAACCTCAAAAATGTCAGTATGTATACCGGAGTATACAGTGATGGGAACTCTATACTCTATACCGCAGTTCACCAGAGTCCATAACTGCGACGCGCAGGTTGGAAGATGGTGGGGGAACGCAGCGAGCTCTCTGCTAATCGCTTACCACTTCGTTTGGAAGTATCGCCAATCAGAGCGAAGATGCGTACTGGAGAAGCGCAAAGAACGAAAACTGGTCTTTTCGCAGTTATGGACTCTGGTGAACTGCGGTATATAGCACTCTATAGATCAGTAACTTTCGGCAGATCTCGATTTTCTTCGGGTTTGTTCGAATTCTCTTGTTATATAGCATAATTTACTATAGTGATGACCTGCCGTTGATCACGTTGACATTCAGCTTTATCTTTGGTAAATTTGAATTTTTTTTTCAAACGTCATTTGAAACTCCTTAGAAAGACAAAACTATAAAGTAACTTTTATTAAATTTCCTTCGAAAAGTATTAAACAATGTAATGAGACACGATCATTTTATAATGGTTTTATAAGCTGATTAGAAACAGAAAGGACGCAGGTCTACTGTACCTTGTGAAGATTGATACGAAACTTTATGTTCTTATAAACCGGTATGTATCTACATAATTTCCCTTTGTTCAGTCACGAAATTGTTTGCTTATATTTTCAAAGGATTTTACCGTTATTATGGTTTTAATTTGAACAGTAGAATATACAAATAGCCTCGATGCCCTTTTCAGGCACATGTAAACTCATCGATCAAAAGGGAATGTTTGTTTTGCTTCTCTCTGCCTTTGAGTTTCAAGCCATCCCGAAGGTTAGACCAAACGACAGTACGATCACTTGACGACCTGGTAAGTGTGGATGTCTGATTCATTCGCGCGATGATATATATAAATTGGATTTATAAAACTTGTTTTCAAATAATTCTTTGATATTTAATAATATTTGTTAACCATTATAACAATATTAAAGAAATAATTTCACACAGGGTTCAATAGTTACTTGGTTCATCTTTGTCCTTATATTTTAAACATTTTTCTATTAATCAATTTAAGGCTATATATACATATCTTAATTTTTTGAGATTTATATTTGTAAAGTTTCTGTTCTAAGAAATATTCAATTAGATTTTTTAGATTTTACATTATATACAATTAAACAATGGCTGGCAGTGGAGAACTTTGGGTACAGTGTTTTTCCTGCTGTTTAACACAACAAGGACCAAGAACACGTAATGGAAGACAGAGGTCACATCAAAGGCTAAGGATAGATCGTAGTATGATAGGAGTACCTACAAATTTTAGACATACTGGACATATTAGCAGTGGAGATCTTGATATGACAAGTGCACAGTTGTCAAATATTCAGGCACAGATGCAAATGAAAGGGGGCTATGACAATGCATATAGTGTTAAGGTATGTATCACAATATTTCAAGAATATTGATTAATATATTTGAAAGAAAAACAAACCAAATTATTCTTATTTCAGGCATGTTGAAAATAGTTATAAAGTACTGTTAGACTGGCCTGCAAACAATCATGCAACAGGACTAAGAAAATGACTGAGTTTATAATACTTACAATGTTTGTGTTCCTTAAGACAAACACATATGCAACTATTTAAAAGCCTACTTAGGAAACATTTTGAACACATTTAACAATCAGACAAAATCAAGTTTTGCAATACTGCTGTTCATAACAGTATGACGAAAATTATTATAGTCTGTGCAAGAATAATTTTACACTCAATATTGAAACTATAGTTACAGGGTGCATTTAACTTTCCCATTAATCAAATCTGCATTTTCATAGAAAGACTGGATACTTAATAGAAACAGAAACTGCCATATAATGCGTAACATTTTACAGGTGCATTTTTTTTTATAACATACACTTATTCTTCCAGTTAAAAAGTCGACGTTTACTGATATACATATATTTATATATATGATACCATACTAACATATTAATTGTTATATCGCACGTTAATCATATTTACTTGTTTTTTGATATGGGTAAGATTTTTGCAGTACTAGATTTATCCTTAATAATTATTAGATAATGTTTTTATACTTCCAAGTGAGAATGTAAGTACTCTGTGTTAGTAGTACTTGTGTAAAAAGAAAAAAAACGAAAGAATGTATTTTGCATAGTTCACCTGTGCTGACTAATGGATAAATATTTTAGCGTATATACGATGAACGTCCACGTTCACAAAGCACGGCCCATTTTTCCTATTTCTGTAACCACCCCCGAATAGGGTGTATAAACCTACATTAGGTAACTTTTGGAATGTAGATGTGTCAAAAAATTGAGGGAATGAAAAAGATAATTTATACGTATTCACCTAGTCTATAACCATTCTCTATTAAACCTCGTGAATTATGCTAGCTATTGTTTGTTATATTTTAAACATGTAAATTGTGATCTCTTAGAGATATGGTCATGAACCAGTGGAAAAACATACAAAAAAAAAATTGAAAAGAGGCAGTGACGTCTACAAAATTTTTGTACAATCTAATTAGTATAAGATTATTCGGAAGTAGTATAAATTAATAAACTTACTGTAACACATAAATGTAACCTTGTTTCAATAGATTTTTACTCCCTTGTACATTGTATTTTATTTAGATTTTCGAAATTTCCGCAAAAATATAAAGATTAATGTACAATTAACCATGAACAAAATCTTATGTCAGAACAAGAACTACAATATAGCTGTAAGCATTGTATTTAATGTGTACGAATAAATTTTTGTGTACTTGCAAACTAAGATTATTAATTACCTGAAGCAAAATATGTCTTTTTCGTTTAACAAACGATCTACATATATTTATTTTTATAATTGATAAAATATTAGCTATAAGCAGCTGATATTTTTCTTCACGGATAACAAATATATTACCGTTTATTTTAATTGTTTTGCTTGGTGAAAAAATATTTATTATTGTTGAAAACAGATATAAAAAGGTATTCTTAAGTTAAAAAATCACAATATTGACCTCAATGACTATAACATATCACACAGTATCCCACGATACAAATCTGTGCCTGTTTCAGACCATCCATAAATCATGGATCATCGCATCTACGAGCCTTATCACTTCTAAGTTTAAATATTCCAGCTAAGCTGGTAGATTATCTCGCATAAAACTTATATTTCTTTTAGTGTATTCATATATATACACATATACATATAATATTATATATCGTTATGCTTAAAAACTAAATTACCGAGAGCGAAAAGGAATGATGTTTAATATTATAATGTTGTAACAGTAGACTCCAATCTATGGAACGTTTATGGTGACTTGATTTGGCCAACAATGATTATGCTGTGAGTGCATATTTGTTCAGAAACTCTCAGAGTTGAAGGCATAATGGTAAATGCTCTGATAGAGCTTCATTTTCTTTGTAACATTGATTCAAATGTTCATTTTCTTTTTCGCGTTTTAATAAGTGTCATTTGACTTCTCTGATCTACAATGTCCACACCCATTCTTGTGAGTACATTTCCATTAAACGATGCGTGACAGCAGCAACTTGATGGAAACATAAATACATCCGGAGCAATTGTACCATTTGTCATCACCGATTGAAGTTCTCTATAAACGTATTTTTGCTTACAATTTGTCCTGTAACCTGCAGCAAGACTTCCAATTGAAGTACAACTTGTATTCTCTCTGCTGTAAATATTACAAAATTTTATAAATAAATTTTTCGGTGCTTAAATAGTTTCTTCCTTTTTTTCTTATAACCATTTTACCACAATACTCACCTACATTTTTCAATTCGTACACCCTGTTTAAAGTTTTCTTGATTTGCAACAAACTTCCATTCGCTATCTTTATTTTTAGCTGATTGAGGAAATATAAGGTGTTCCTGAGGGGCAATAAATATTTTAGAATTAGAATAAGTTTTGTTTTTAAAAGAAAAGTTATTTTTTATAACAGATACATACCATGGACATGCAGAGAGATATATCATCTGTTTGACCTATCCTCTCTTCCACAGGTGATAAATCAATCTGTGAACATGTAAAACATACTGTTAATTAAGTGTCATTAGCGCCGTACATCTAAGGAAATGCGATACTTACTATATCTACACTTTCTAAGTATTTAATACTTTCGTTACGTTGAATCGCCCGATTTACTACATCTTTCGGATAAGTATCCACTGTTTCACAATACGTGGACCCCTTACAAGCAGGTACAATTCTTTCTTCTGGAAACACAAAATCTGTCTGCCTCGTTCGTGGTGATGACCGGTCTAATGAAAAAACAGTTAATTACATATTTTAAATAATTTAAAAATAAAATATATCAGATTCGACGTTTTGAAAAACGAAAAGAGAAATTTAAATTTCAAGAGTCTTTCCCGCGTTAGAAGGTATCTACTTTACCAATTAAGCTGTTCAACCGTTTAACAAATTGTCGTTACCTTCTTTCTGTCGAAACATGGAAGATTCAGTCTGAAATTTAAAAAGGTATATTAAACATACGTGTATTTTGATGCCTCGAGACATTTCTGCGAATTCTTTCGAGGTTGAACTGTTCACCATTTTTAGCAGTTTCATTTATAAGGTCTTCAAGATCATCACGACCGGCTTGATGGTATGGATAGGGAAAAATGCACTGTGCTGCCTGAAAAAAGAAATAGAAATCTACTAAAATCTTGTTAAGTAACAAACATGCCGCTAATAGTAAAACAAGTAAGTATTACAATGCTCAAACAATATTACATGAAACAATAAGTCTAATGTTATCCGAGAAGAAGTCATATCTCGATTACGCGAATAGATTGCACGGATATGTTTATTTTTGTACACCATGTAATGTATGTAACTGGTAAGTACTTATTCTTACTTTTTATTTGAATAACGAGTTTAAGGATTAAGTGATCTTTTCTTCGTAAGACTTCTCTGTCTCTATTACATTTTGTTCTTCTTTTATTAATTGCAGACGTCACTCAAGATGTCAGGTTGAGATAAGCGCGAACACTATTTTAATCAACGATTATTTAAGGTATTCTTTGAACACTTTATTTTTAAAGTGTAAATGGATTCTAATAATGAACGGAATAACATAAAAAAATACAAGGTTTCCATACGTATTGTTGTACTATATAAATTGTATACGATATAAAATATTAATTTATACTACACGATCTATTTTTAAAACGGATACCAAGAACATTATCATATTTGAAAAGTCAGGTTTCATTGTTTCGAAGAAGTTATTATCAAGTTCTGACGATTAAACACTGAATCGAAATGACATCAATATTTATAAAGTAATAAGTATGCACGTGTATTGTTTATTCTTACGCGGTTAATCACGAAAATCTCTAAGTATATATCAAAATTTTCTAAATGGGAAAAACATTTCTTTAAAATAATTTATTGTCATTTCTTCTTGCCTTGTAAACAAACAATTTAATTTACAATTTGTTACTTCATTCAGGGAATTCAGGGAATAATCACGGAATTGGAAAAATTGGATTGAACGAGAACGTCATCGATTTTATAAAAAATCATTAAAACCGATCATTCAATTTGACACTTTACCCTGACTGCTTGGATAGTGTTACACGACGATAACGAATCTCTACGAGTTACGTAAATACGATTGGGCTGTACGCTAATTTCAGACTTCGTTTTACGATGCACACAACGTTCAAAGAAGCATCACACTACCGGTACGTGATGATTACATCCGAATCTCTTTTATATCATTATTATTCTCAATGTACATATATCTATTCAAAAACATTCCAATTATTTTCTTTATCAGGTTGTTTGTTGGCAGATACTTGTAACAGATATAAGAATTAAAAACTTTGACAACTGTTAAAAAGTTTTTAAAAACTGACCATCACTCTATATAGGTGAATGAAAACACATAAATGAGCGTGGATAGCAACATTGTGATTAATCAACTTAACATAATATTTAAAAAAAGAAAGATCATGATTTCTTACCAGCACTGTTAAAAGGCCAAATTTGAAAAGCGTTATAGTCAGATCGTCGCATCTTCGTCGCATTTTTTTTACACTTATTAATTATTACGTTGGTTCTTTCTACATACGCACACATATACACCCACGCACACTGCACGAATACTGAAATGACACTTATTTTTCAATTTTGTTTATAGGTGATCGTTGCGTTTTCAAAGACTTTATACGTCTCTTCCGAGTTGATAATACTGTAATGCGTTGGTTGTTTTGCATTCGTTGAAGTTTGAGACTTTGGAAGTAATTGTGTTAACAGACAGTTAATATTATACGTAATGATATTAGATTACAAGAGAATAGCAAAGAGCACAAGACTTGGATCACTGATGGATCGTTAGACGACCCGGTACGTTCGGCCGATCGTACGCGATTGACCTGTTCCTGCGTACCAGCCGCGGTACTCGTCAACTCGTCACATTAACGGCTCGTAATCGTAAGCTTAGTATCCCAGGGGACGGGGTAGGAGGTTCTCACAGTGCACTATGGATTCATAAACAGAGACGTAATGTGATGGAATTGACAGGTTAAGGGATAATAAGCCGGTTGCCACTGGGTAATTAATACCATTGTACCGGTTTTATGGAATTACCTATTAAAGGTGCCATTATTAAATGGTAGCATGCCTTCACGATATCAATACTTAAATATTATTATAACAATGTAACTTGACGTTTCAATACTTTTATAATTCATTGTATGCAGGTGTTTATTTAACTAACATAAGAGTTAACATTATATTAAATTTAATTTAAAAATTGTAAGCAAGAAATCTAATAATTAAAAATCTAAAAATACAATACTATTTTTACAGGTGTGTCACTGTCGGTTTTATTGGTTTATAGTCTATAAGAAGGAAGTGTTGCATTCTGACCTGAGCGAGGATAAAAGTGCAGTGATTAACGCCAGCGTAATTACGGTTGTGCGTCTCAACAAGGAAATCGGCAGGTAACTGTATTCATTGCTAACAGCCTATAAATAGTCACTGCCACTTGTTAATACTATGTAGCAAGTTTTCTTTATTTTCGAAAAGCTCGAAGTAGCAGTTAACCGGTTCTGTGATTCAAACAATACCATTTTGGAGAACAATAAAAGGCATTCAGTGCACCGTGAGTGCAAAATGTATAGAATTATACTGAAAGGTTTATATTATACAACATGATTGGAGAAGTTTTCAAGCAATTTACTAAGACAAAGTACTTTTTTTATCAAAACTGAATTCGTTTCGAGACTAAATCGAACTTTGTAATATTTTAATCAGGTAGAAAAAACGCGCGCTGAATCAGCTGAAATCACCACGCGGGAGATACCTATGTTAAAATAGCTGAATTCAAATTCTGAAACAATGTCCGATATCAAAAGTATTTTATCACTATTATGTCAGCATTTAAATTCATCGATCAATGTCGTAATGAAACCTGAATATTTTAGATTGACAAAATTTGATGGTACAGCCGAAAATATCGTGAGTGTCGTGCGCAGTATCGTATAACCTTTACGTAATGTTTGGCACGCAAACATTCGTAAAATGACGAATTTTAACTCGATGATTTGTTCTTTTTTTTTACTCTCTAGACCGAGGAATTCTGGAAAACATTAAATACTTTAAGTTATCATGCCGTGAGAGAAAAGCAAATCGAAATTGATTTTCAACAGTATGGTAAATTTCATTAATACTTCATTCCAAATTGTTTCTCATAATGGCCTTTGTTCACAAGTTCAGTTTCTTTTTAGGTATTATTTGGGGAACAAAATTGTATTTTGCATATTTACAGTATCCAGCCATAGAGTTTTATGCTTTAAACAGAGACAGTAAAAATAACAGACAATTATTATTAGCATTCGCGTGGCTTCTTGGAACACAAAATGTTCTAAATGTTATTATTAGAATAAATTTATCCAATAGTGTACTGGGAAAAGAGTGTGCATATCCAAATAACTCAGAAGTAATTAGCCAAGCATAAAGTAAATTAGACTATAATATGAGAAGTACTAGATTATTTATGTTTTAGAAAAAAGAAACAGAGTGCAATGTACCAGAGTCATTGATTGCACAAATAAATAATGTATTATACTTAAATGGTAAAGTAAATTACAATCTAAAAGAGATATCTGAGCTAATTTCTGAAAAAGCTAAGCTAGTAAGCAAAGCTCATGCTGCAAGTATTAATGTCAGTGGTTTACCACATCTCAGTGTATCAGAATTAGCATTAATAAAACGTATATCAACAATTAATAAGAAGGCACCTTCTAATGAGGATAAAAGATATTTAAAGAATTTAAACATTATTGGTGGTTTGTTAGATACACACATGAAATGGTTAAAGAAAGAACACATGTTTTTTGAATGGATGGTAAATAATGAAAGTGTGATTTTATTCTTACCTATCACATATATTGCAAAAAATAATTAAGCGATGATAATAAAAATTGCAGGTGACCGTAGTTGAAGAACACAATAAATCTCTAACTTTCAGTTTAGATGACATTAATTGGAATGAAATTTCAAAATTCATTTCTTTATTACATTATATAACACAAGAAAGATTTGAAAGTTCATCTTCCAAAAATGAATCTGAGGCTTCTCAAACTTGTCCTTCTACATGTGTATCACGTTTATTAAAAGTTCAAGACAGTAATAAAGAAATGGAAAATTGGTTAACAGACATTTCTGCTGAAGTAAACAAAGATATAGAAGATCTGTCTAAGAGAAAGGAAGAACTGTCTAAGGAATTGAAAGATATTTTGAAATCAATACCTTCTTCTATTCAAGTTTGATTTGCATACAAAAATAAAAAAAATAATTTTTAACAAAAAAAAAATCCGACTTCGAAATGCACTAAAAAGTGTAAAATAATTTCTATTTCATTTATACCAATATTCCATACCCCCGCAGGCGCCGGGCGACGCCAGCCGCTACTCCTCTCTCTGTAATGTAAAATTGAAATTATTAGATATGTATTCTTTAAAATTTGCCCTAATATTGAACAACAGAGATGTTCTGATAAGGGCAATATTGTATTCCTCTGTACGAGGCAATAATTCATACTATAAAAAAGAATCTGTGATACATACTTCGCGGTGGCTTCGCCTCGTCCTTTGTCGCAGGCTTTCACTAGCAGTCCTTGGATCATCTAGTTGCAGCAGTCATTTGATCAATAACACCAAATGATGAGATGAAAACATTCAAAATTGTCACCAGAAATATACCAATTACAGTGTAATTGTTGGCTGTTACAGCTTTGCACATTTCACTGTCGTTCTTCACATTATACCTGCTGTTCCAAATCAGTCCTATACCCACAGTAATCTGCAGGAACAAGCTGGCACCTATCATAACTAGGGATGGATAATAATATGAGTGCCCGCCGTCAGTTTGAAGAACATAGCGCAATTGATTCGCATTGGCCGACACGAGAGCCAAATCCATCATCCCTTGGGCAACTGTTTTCTTATACTGATAGAGATTCACGTCAGGTGCCATTGAAACAGGTGGCAGCGGAAAGAATGGATTTCTGCCGTCTGAATCACAGTTAACATTAAATTAATAAAACAAGGTAGTGTGTCTGATTTCAGTAAAAAATGAAGAAAAACTTTTGAAGCCTTTTTGAATTCAATTTTTATATAACTTCATAATAAATATTCACTTTTTAATAATAAAATACAAAGAAGTTCATGTTAATGAATCCTTTCTTGATTTCAGAGAACGGCAATTATATATTGTTGAAGCTCGTGGACGAATTCCAAGATTAAGTCTTTGTATCAGCCCGTTTCCCCTAAAGAATACTGTGTTTATTATACTCGGAAGGAAACGGGAACGGATCAAATTTGTAATCCTGGGTAGAGCGTTATTAAAGAGATTCATTGTCAGTGTATTTTCCCATCGACGCAACGGTGATTCCCCATTCAAGACACGCTTAGCAATTCCGCTATAGGTACACAAATGTATTCATCATTGTATTGTGTAACGATACGGAGAATCACTGGCTGCAGCAGAAACTTTCCTCCTTCGCAGATTCCTTGAAACTTGTTCGTTTCATTTAGTACCCTCTAATAATAAAACTACCGCCGTACGTATGTTTTAAATTAGCAATTTGAAATTCAGCATTTTTTCAAATATTCAATACGATTAAATTACAGGAAAAAGGATTAAAGCGTTCTCTGATATTTATGAATTGATCGAAGTTTTACAAGAGATAGAATATTGAATGCCCATCATTATCCAATACAAAAGTTGAAATTATTTGGGACAATTCTATCTTTGTATAGCTATGTAGAAACACATTATCGAACTGTTCCGTTGTCAAGCAAACAACGACTTTGATTTAGGAACCAAGGCATTCCTATAGTGGCGTTCAGGCAAATCTACTTTCTAAACTCTTGAACTTTCATCCATATCATCAAACTGAACATGAAGAGAGGTGGAAATGAAGATTCAGAAGTGTTGCTCTCACTGCCCAGGAAAGCTGGTCACCTTGAGAAGCAACGAGTTTCACGAATGTTGTCAACCAAATTATGTTTCCGGAAACTTAAAAGTGTCCTCTCTGAGAAAATGTGTACCAGAATCTTTTAGTAGAAGAGAAATGAAGAAAAATTTTCCGTTACCCGAGCAGCATCGATCTTCTTACGATCAATTCGCTCTGGCGAAGAGGCTTCACGCGGAGAACCTCCAGCATCAGCCTCTCCCCGACAAAGTCCACGATTCTGTATTCAAGAACCCCTGCCCAAGACCCTGTCGTCGACTTCCTTCGGGAAGGCTCTGCGAATGCTGCGAACAGGTATCTAAAAACGATCGTAAGAACTTGAACAAACGTTATGGACCAATTTTAGGGTGCAAGGAGCCGAAGACGAAAATGGATCTGGCTATCAGCTGGGAGACACCGGTAGATTCTGTCTACGAACCACCTAGACCCAGTCACATCGACGGTTCGGAAGGAGGTTTGGCGCCAGCTATCTTCACACTCGTAGAACACGGGTCTAAAAGCCCCACAAATTCGCTTCGCGTTGAGACCGTAAAGAACCAGGCTAGTCCTGGCCGTTGCAAAACAGGGAGCGACCAAACGGAACGTTCTAGAAACAAACACAAAGGAGAAGATCAGAAGAGGGAAAAATGTTGTTGCGAGTGTTTATGCAGAGGTTTGAACGGAGTGAACATTTCCAAGAAGGATGAGACGCAATCGAGGAGATCCTGTAGAAAGTGTACAGCTTGCGGTTCGAAGAATCTCAGGGATGATCCTCGATTGACTAAATCGGCTGTGGGTTTGGCATTGGGACTGGAGAAAGGTGGAAATGGTCAGAAAAGGAACGATGGTAAAATGATGGTACCAAGACCGAGAACTCCTTTCGCTAGGAGATCTTTTTGTATAGATACGTTGACGCCTCCGTTCAGCGTGGTGAATGGAAGCAGAGATGCTGATTACCCAGAGCACTGGAGACTTATGTCGGTTTATCAGCAGTCTTATAAGAACCCGTATAAAAGGAGAAGCTTGTATCATTGTTAGATTATAATACATAGTAGAATGGTAACCTTGTTTATATAGAATAACTATATTTAATTAGCTAGAATAACGCAAGAACAAAATGAAGTTTACTCAACAAAACTGAACATTTTACCTTAACACTTAACGAACACGATAAAGTTGTTCTTAATCATGTTTTAGTGTGATCGATATTTCGTTTGCGTTTGATGCTACTAATATTAATATACTGTGGCATAGCAGAGGTTTCTAGATTCGAGGTTTCGTCAAGCGTGAGGGTATGCTTCAAATGTTCGAAGGCGACGTTTTGCAAACGATTTAACAAATCCGGATATGGAGATATAAATCGATGGAAGTCGTCGCGATGCAACAAACAGATTTCACAGGTCTCCACTGCGATAACCGTCGCGATTCTATGCTCGCTATCCATCACCAGAGCGATTTCACCAAAGTAAGTACCGTCCTCCAAGTGGCAAACCTTTTCAAGTTTCATTCGTGGAATAAAACGATTGAGAAACAGGAAATCAGTCGACGAGGTTGTTGAGAATAATAATGTTAACGTTACCTCTTTGCCTGTAGAGTTATAGACCGCCACGGTACCGGAAGAAATAAAGTACAAAGCCTCGCCACGTGTACCAGCTTTAACGATCTCATCGTTGGTCATGTAAATCTCGGAACGTAAGGCGCTGGTCAACTGTGCCAGCACAGTTTTTGGCAAATGATTGAAGAGTTTCACGCTGCCGATCAATCTCAAGTAATTGTGCAGAATTAATTGCTGCAAAAAGATTTTTCTTGTTAGAGTATTTTTGATTACAATTTTGTTGAATAATTGCTGAATAATAACGTATAACAAAATGTGTAATCGTTTGATTTTTTAGTGGTGTACTAAAGAAATTAAACCTCTCGCAAGTAGGGTGAAACTTCGTTTATTATTTTTGTATCTCTCTCGAAGCCTCTTTTGTTGCGGTAGTGATAAAATATTAATAAACGACGTTGCAGAGAGTGCGGTAATTCCTTGTATCGCATGTATTCTTGCAGCTGTTGTATTATCTTCAGATGACGCTTAATAGTTATATGAAAGGTTGCCATTAGCTGAGAGAATTGTGCTATAAGATCAAGAAATATAAATTGTTATTCAGTAGTTAAATAATTAAGAAGTAAACCTACGAATCTGTAGTTTAACTGTTGTCATTCTAATGTGAAGAAACTATTAACTTAGTAAATACATGATTCCAATGAATCCTAGAATTGTTAATATCAAGTTCAATATGATGTCTTCTGGCGTTTTAATGGACGAATAATGAGAAGAGCGAACCATCGCGATAATTGCACGATTCAGGCATAGCAGGTACCTTTTGAATGTTGTTTCTTTGTTTATAAAATACTTTGACCTGATCCAAGACCTGAAGAGGAAAAATGAAATGAAATTATATACGAAGAAGCATGATTGAAATAAGATGAAATCAAACACTAACTGTGTACTTATCGTGCCCAATTTTTCGACAGATAGGGGAACATAATATTCCATACAAGCGGCCCAGTGAATACCTATTGAAATAACTATGATTGTTTCTAAAATTTTATACACCTGGAAACTTATTCTGTACACCTGAAATCACGAGGTCGTTTCAATATGTAAGACTTTTACCGTTACATTTTCTCTTTTTCATTTTTGTTCTTGTCTAACTTTTTATTATTATCATTATAGTGAACTAACATCGTGAAGTCTACGAAAGTAAACGATGATATTGCGAATGCGCAATATCTTCATCATGTTGAACGTGGAGCAGTACCAAATTGCCTTGGGTAGAAGTACATCAAATACTCCTATAGGTAATACGGTAAGAATATCTATCACAAAGAACCATCTTATATATTTTCTGCAAAAGCAAGGAAAGTAACCGTTCTCTTAATAATTTTAAGCACGCGCATAGTCGAGCAATCAGTACTGGTGAGTTGATGATCAAATTACCGTGCTACTATTTTAGGATCAAGAACTACAACTTTTGTCCCATAGTCGTAGTAGCCCGTGAAGAACCACGTTATAATATCGCATACGAATACTATGTTCATTGTGTCAGTTGGTAAATGCCAATTCTCGTATTTTTCAAAGTAGAACGTGATGGAGAATGGAGTGATCACAAGGGCGATAAACGTGAATACTGTCATGAAAGATTCCCAAATGATTCTACGAAAAGTAAAATAGTGAAAAATTCTTAAAAAATTATAAATTTCAAAGGTATTTCATTCATTTTTCATATATTAATATTAAATAAGAGTTACCTAAACGAACTGAAGGGATGTATCATATAGGGATGGGATTTAAGATGTCTTGAAATTTCATAATTCACTGCAGTTGTACTTTTCAGACATAAACGCGCTAAAGGATGTTTTGGATAAACTATACGTTGTCTTAAAAACCAACGCTGCAACTTTGCCCAAAGTGAATTGCCTTTTATCAGATTCATTAACTCATCCTGTTCCACCGGCTGCCTACACTTATGTTCAATGACTGGCGCACGCTGTACGATATAAAAAAAAAATGGATTTATTTTTTTGTCGTTTTCTATGAGTAAATCGATTTATCGTTTAAATATTGAATCATTAATCAGTAATTGACCTCTGTATTTGGCGCTTCTGTAAAATGTGGTACGTAAGCCATCAAATCCATTTAAACGATTTGTTTTGGTCGTACAGCTGATCGATAGTTCCGTCAGTGGTAATTAACTCTTTGTATATATGTAAATATATGCTGTAATTAAAATTAACATTTCGTCAAAACATCATTTATATGAAGACTGACGCATATTTTTTTCTTTAAAGATTATCTCGAAGATGTGAGAACCTATATAATATTTATTAGGAGAAATTAGTATGAAAGTTATTTATTTGAGGATGTGTTGAATATCAGGATATGATGATTGAACGAAGAAACAAGGAATAAAAAGTATTCAATTAACAATATATTTGATACAATTTCTTCATATATAGAATAATTTAAAAATGTTATTTATATCTACAGCGTAATTTTGGTATGCGCATAAAGCACGTGACTGCCGTAACATACTGTAACATACCTGATACCTGAATAATGGTCTGATTAGAGCGTAAAACTTCCAACCTGCAAATAATTATAGCATTCGACAAAATAAGATTTTGTCACATTGTTTTATTGAAATCGTGTTATGGCAATAACATTTGACAATAAACCTCGTACTAGTAACATGACAGAAACCGATAACATTCAATTACCGATAGATGTGAGTCTCCTCTTACCATTTTTTACATTTAAATAACTGCTTAATAATTTGTATAGCTTTTTTTGTCTTTTACGTGAATATATACTTTAAAAAAATATGTATACGGTAACCTTAAACGAATCATTTATTTGAGAATATGATTAATTAACAAAAAAAAGGCTAATGGTAAAAGTACTGTTTGTTCTTTTTTTCCAGAAATATTTTAAGAAAGAAAAGTTTATTGACAAAAGTATATTTTATATGTAGGTAATTATACACATACTGTCATACCTGTCTACATCAGATAGGATGTCAGCAGGACTAGTCAACCATACATGGCATGAAGCATCTCTTGCAATGAAATTTGTGGATCAAGAAGTATTGGTTTTGGGTCGACCATGTACAGATAATTTGAACCAAATAATGGAAGTATTGCAGTGTTCCATGCGACCATTTTACCACTTTGTTTTTAGAGAAGTAGAACTGAAAAGAAACATGCCAATCTGGGATCAGTATGGACCTCGTATGAAAAGTCTTGTATTGGTATGATTACTTTGATTAAACATACAAAATTGTATTATCATAGATTCATTTTTCTTAATTTATATATATATATTAATTTTCAGTTGTGTTGTGACTTAAGTGAAAAGGCACTTATAGAAATTTTTAAATGTTGCACATCTCTAAAAGTATTACATATAAATGATTGTCGGGAATGTCTGATGTCTGGAAGACTCTTAGAGGATGAGAGTGACATAAAAGAACTTTCAGAAACATTTAAAAATCTTCAAGAGCTTAGCCTTGGATATAATCGCTTTTTGAGTGATGCTCTTTTTAACAGACTTGTTGCCATCTGTCCAAATGTAGAATCCTTAAGTCTTATGGGGTGTCAAATATCTTTCCATTGTGGATTGTATAAAAAATTTTATCCTCAAAATATAACATTGCCTGATGCGTCGCAATCAGTTTTAACGTTTTTAAATGCATTACATTACCTCAGGCAACAAGCATACAAGTTAAAACGATTGAATTTCGGGTATACTTTAATCGATGGAACGGCTTTGACTACTTTAGCTGCTTTAGAAGATTTAAAACTTGAATCCTTAATGCTTCAAGGTTGTTATCAATTAACTGTCCAAGGAATTAAGGGATTAACACAGCATCAAACTTGTTTAAAAATTCTTGACCTCAGTTATTGCGTGCGTATTACGGACGCTAGTTTACTCCATATCTGTAAAAATTTGACAAAGTTAGAGACGCTTCGGATAAAAAGATGCCGTGCAGTAACTGACTGTGGTGTAAAGTACATTCGGTTACTCAAAAATTTAAAAGAACTTGATATTTCTGAAAATGAACTACTTACTGGAGACTGTATTACTCTTGGAATTTGTTCTGATCCTAATATAAACGATAGTAATATGGAGCAAGATATCGACTCTGAAAATTTCAATTTTGGTCCTACAGATCAACATTCTGTTATGAAAAAGACCATACAAAAAAAGACAGTACAAATGCTCTCAGCAAATGCATTAAATCTTCATGAAGAATCTATTGAATGTATATCTAAATGTTTTCCAAACTTAAGACTACTTGAACTTAATTATTGCTTTAGTGGTGTCACCAATAAAACAATACAGGTGCGTGAGAATAGAGTTATAATCGTCATTCTTCACTTGGCTATTATTAGTACATAAAGAAAAGAAAAAGAATTGGTCACAATTAGGAAAAGATAGTATTTTTCATGTGATGTATCTGATTATTTTCCTGAACTTTCAGGAATTACTAAAGCTTAAGAGAGTCGCTGTAAATCATAAATTTTTGTACCAGCGATGACGCTCATGCATATAAAAGTAAGTTTATTTTTTATAGATGATATTCAAGGAGCTTGTACATTTGCAAACATTAAAAATAAGCCATTGTGATAAGGTCAGTGATGCTGGCTTGATTGGTATGGATGCTGGTAACCATGAGCATTTTGAACCAATTCAAGTTGTACATGAACCAGAATTTACAGAATCCAACAGATTAAGAATTAGCTTACGGTCAAGGGCCGAAGAAGAAATTGTACGCGATGCTAATCGCAAACGAGAAGTAATGAAAATCTGTGAAAACGTTGTTAAGCCGGTAGATTTTAATACATTTTCCGGATTTTCTTTGATTCGACTTAAATGTCTTCGAGAACTCGATCTTTCTGGATGCAATAGAATTACAGATCTCAGTTTAAAACATGCATTTGCATTTTTGGAATTAAAAATTTTAAATTTAAGCCAGTGTCAGCAAGTAAGTATAAATTCGATTCAACATTCTTATTCATTAAAAGTATGTACTTTCAATTTGTATCATATTTTTTATAGATAACAGATGTGGGATTAGATTATTTATCTAAAAATAACCCAGCAATTGAAGATTTAAATTTAAATCAGTGTCACAACATATCAGATATTGGAATATCTTATCTCGCACAAAGATTGCACAGATTAAAACGGCTTATTATACAGGTACCTTTATAATTAAAAATTGATACTTGTTGGAAATTAATACTTATGCACACTTTTACAGGGATGTTCACAATTGACAGATCATACTCTTGACGCTATTAAGTTGTATTGCAAAAGTCTTCATTATCTTGATACACGTTACTGTCGAGGAATGTCAGTAGCAGGACTTGAAAGTTTAACACATTTGTATGTTGATTGGATCAAACATATAGATGACATCGTTTCTTCAGAGCATGGGGTACCTCCACCACCTGCACCACCTTTACCGTCATTATCGTCCTTGCCATAGAGGCGGCTTCAATATTTCCTTTCGCATTTTAAAGACAGGGTAAGGGAAAATTGAAGTATTATTTTACGTAATTTGTACATATAATGTGTTTATAAGATTTAATTTAATAGGAGACAAGACACGATAGTGATTTCTATATCTCCTTTCACAGAATATGGTTGTAGGATTTTCGTAAACGTTCGTCTATTAGATAAATGAATTTGTATAAAATAATTTAAAAAGAGCACGAAGCAAAGTTTTAATATAATGTTGTTATTTGATATCATACACATAGAAATTTTAAAATATTTTAAAATAACTATGTAGAAATGTTTATAATTATGTACATAGAAAGAGGTATAAGGAAATTTCAATTTGTATTATATCAAATATCTGGCAAAAATTGTGATCCTTTGCTAGAGAAGATCAAATAGTTTAAATAGATGGAAATAAAATATTTATTGAATTCTGTTCAACATAAAAAGTCAAAGGTAATTAAACAAATATGTTTGTAAAATATAGAGCGATAATGTGATTTACAGTAAGTGCAATAAAGTGAGCCAAACTGTTATTTAAAAAATAAGCAATTTGTAGTCACATAAACTATTATTAAATATCTTACAAATTTTATTCTTTTCCATGTTGCAATATAATGAACATATAATGATTATTACTGAATTAATAAAAAACTAGTAGTTATATATAAAATTCTATATGTATTTAAAAAGATTCATCTCTATATTTTGACATGTACAATACAAATTACAATTTAAAAATGGAAATTTAAGAATTTTGTGAATTAAGTTGGAAATTTTTGTACATAGATTTATTCCATGCATAGAGTACAAAATCATCCTAACATTCATAGCACTGAAATTTATATCAGAGTATTTTCTATCAATATGCTGCCATTGTTAGAGAAAAATCATAAAATAAAATAAATACAACTTAATGATCTATTAACTGATAATGTAAGATGTATTTTTTGAGAACACATTTAGTAATGTCATTCAAAAATAAATATGTTTTTTCATACATTATTAATTTATTTGTGAAAGTTTTACGTTCTTAAATTATTTATTGTAATTATATATACATATATATATATTTGTGATATACATTTTGTGTAAGGATAGACCGTTTAAATTAGGATATGTAATAAGATTATATAAACAGTGATCTAAATTTTATTCAAAAACAAACAAATTTAACAGTATTTTTAATGATAGTCAAAAATTCTATTTTTATCGAATGAAGTAGTTTCCATGAAGTCTGTACTTTTAATGATCTTTTATCTTGCATTTCAATTGCTTTTTCAATATATGTATTTATCGTGACACTTATTATAGACGGCGGAATCAAGTCAATTTCTATTTGTTATACGATAAAAGAAGGATATGAGTGTCAGGTTTACAAGACAAATGTAAACGAATAAAGTAGTGAACCGCTTTTTTCAGTATTTGTCTTTAGAGATACTAACGTTTTAATTTATCATCAGTGCTATTTTATAATTAGTAGCAAAACACGCAATTTACAATCAGTATTCGAGGAATTATTGTTCACTCGTAGTTCGTTCGAACCCAACTTGAATTCTTTTTGTACAAAATTCTTAATGTATCACAAAATTTGATACCTACAAGCAGTGTAGTATCAACTATACTTTTTTTTTTGTACAGGATACATCATTTTGATTCTGTTGCAATTTGACCTCTGATTTGGTCTTCTATGGGTAAAAAAAACATGAAGCGAACAATTCATTAACTTAAAATTCTGCGCATTTCTAAAAATGGTTAATTATGCTCAATTGTTTTGAACTATTCTTCAATATTTTTAGAAACGGTAACCCATAGAAGTTCAATAACAATTTAATAAATGTTTAGAACAAGAATGTTTTATACAATTTTTACATTTTATGCTGTAAATTAATGATCGACACTTAGTAGTTAGGCAATAAAATTAATGTTAACACATAGATAAGTGATATAAATATACTATGTAAGTTAAATCTACGAAACTATTAAGTGTGCTGAAATTAATTTCGAGACGAAAAAAGAAAGTAAAATAAGTATGTGAGAAATGTATGGTTGACACTTCACTGTATATGGAATTACATAACGTATACTAAGTTTTCTATAAATGTAATACATTTTCTTGGCAAATGAATATAAAAAACCTACTTATTACTAAATTAAAATAACGGTTTAATGTGACAAAGATACAACATACTATTCTGATTATATTAGTTTCTGATATACACAAATTCAAATTGTCAATTTATTTGTTAAGGATCCAAGACTAAGATTCCAGTGTTTAATGTGTGATCACAAATCATATCATTATTTCTTAAACTATCTACTGCAAAAGAATAATTACTTGAAAAGAAGGAACAATTGTTATTTTTACATAAAAATAAATAGACGTTAATCCATTTTTCTTTTTGCAAAAGCATCCGTATACTTAAATTTAAAGATAAATAATTTAAATACCCTCTACTACTAATAATAGAATAATTCATCATAAGAACTAGAATTGTGCAACTTTTTTCCTATTCATGTAATTCTTTTATTCTAATTCAGATAACTTTTTGTTTCATTTGTAAAAGTCATTAAAAGAATTCAATTTCCAATTATATTAAATTATCAAGAAACAACTATACACAAGATAAAATACGAAATTATCCATTATAGGAAAAAATGTTTTACACAACTTAAAGGCAGTGATAGTCCTTGAACAAGGACACTGAAATCTTAGTTTGTACTATCATTTTTAATCCCAATTTAACCATGTACCACAGCGAAAAAAGTAGTTATGAAAAATATAATGAAACATTAAACAAATCTTTTTTACTCTCTTAACACACTGTTCTGTATGTATAGATTTATATATACATATATACTTATGTATTTTCTTGTACGCGTCGCATCATTGTAATTGATTCGTACTTTAATAAATACTGTGCTTTACACACATCATGTAAAAAACTGTTATTCTTTAGGTAATGGACATTTTTACGAAACATCCAGCATATCTCTCTTAATTGATGCGACAATCATGCATAATTATATACAAAGTAGTGGAAACGTCAATTATTCCTCTCAATATATATATATATACTATATACGTTTTCATTTACGCTACTCTTAAACAAGAGTCCGGAATACACATTCAGCGCGTACCTTTCAAATCAATGTAAAGATAAATGTCTCTTCCAATCTAGATAACATGTTTGGTTCTTTATGTTGTTACTTTCCTCTTCAAGGAATTTTAAGCAAACCTCTGTGATATATCTCAACTCACTTTTCCCTTTCACGTACTAAACTTTTCACAGGGTTCATAGCATCATATCGCTAATTAAAACGTAGATATTACCAACGAGGTAATTATAAACCCAGCAGTCTTTCCTCCAAAGCTAAAATGAAAAAACAATTATATTTACATACATGTTTATAAATATATTTGTGACTCTCCTTATTCAAGTATTTGATTGCTATGTAACGATTAGTTGGAAAACTCGTATTATTAGAACAAATATAAAAAAATATGTACTTCTTGAATACATCAAGGATTTCTTTAATATGATTATGATATATTCATTGCACCGATAAAAAATGTAACAATCTTATGATAATTTTTAGTGACCAAATCAACTGTTGATACTTTGATTTTTACAAAATACGTTTAAAAATATATACATACATACATATATATATATTCGTACTTTTTGATAATCGACATTAAATTTTACATCATAACTTGTAGATCAAACAAAATAATTAATAAATAAGACACTTATATCTATTTATACATATAATCACTGTACATTCAGGTGAACAGTAATATAAAAAGAATGAAATAATGTTTACAGATTTATTTTGGATGTTTTTGTATAAATATAATTATTTTCATCGTAGATAATAATTTTTCTAGTGAATTTTTAGAATAAAATAAACAAATGAGAGTTCTTTTCAGTAGTTCAGAACTTGTGTATGAAACAAATTGTTTCGAATGTACATTTTCTAACGTAGAAAAACGAAATACGTGACGAGTACTACAAACAAATACACAATTTTATATAAAAAATCAAAATGACAAGATACTTATATTTATGATAATCGTAGAGGGTTTAACGTAAGCTGTACAAGTTATTACAATGTTGTGACATTGTAATACAATAACTTATTACAATGAAAAATAAATAATGTTTTATACAACGAGTCGACGACTACAGATATACGAATATCGTTTATCGTTTCAGACAAAAACGTCAAGCGTACAACAGATTTTCATTTTTTTTTTCTTTTCCATAAAAGATATAAAACCACCTCTAACATATCTATTTCTGTACAATATCTTGATCTACAAGAACATCAGGCGTTTCAATGCAAATCTGATTTGGATTAAACATCCATATATGTACATGATTTTTTTCTTCCTTAGAAGAATTTAATACAAAAAATACGAATTTCGTATATACTTTTTAAAAAATTATTTACGTAGATGAAAGAACACTGAAACCCCAGTAAATATATAATGAGATCGTCAAAAATTACAGATAACAAGTGTTTTCTTAACAATTCTTTTATCTGCATTTTAACAGTTTCCGTTGGGAAGAAAACGAAAAATAAAAAGAACAAACTTATAAATTTGCAAAACATATCGATAAATAAATAACCTTATTATGTAACTTGGTTATTTTACCGATATTTGTACTAGATATATACTGTGAATAGAATACGGATCAAAACAACAATGTTAATTCATAGAAAAATACTGTTGCGATTTAAATTTGATCAGTCTTAATAGCAGCAAATCCAGAGGATTTTATGCGCCCTGGTAGTATTTAGTTATTATTTCTTCCATAAATGGACGGGATCATTTGATCGATCGCATATATCGAGACCACATTCTCCTTCAGTATAGGTACATTTGTCTGTACATTACAAGCTCGTTGCTTATTTGGTCATCAAATTACACCGAGACAGAGATAGAGAGCATGCTCGTGATGATCCATCGAGAATAAAACATACTGAAACCAAAGCATTGGAGGCAACAGTGATTTGAACCTGCAAAAAAATCTATCCTAAGACTATTTCTTTTTTGGAAATGAGATTGAACCTTGGAGAAGGACAATCTAGAGACGGAATAATGTAATCGTCAACTTCTTGAAAGGCAAATTCTTATCGCAATCTGAGAACAATGTATACTTAATATAACAATAATAAAAAAAAGAGTGCATATTAATAATGTTATGAAAAGCTCGTTTCCTGTTTCGCGACAAGTAAAATTTTTCTTTTAGGAAGAAAGAAGAAAGAACGAACCACTTATTAAATTTAACATAGGATGTAGGAACTCACCATAGGAATGAGACTTTACGATGAAGTGTTCACATCATTTGTTAAGGAATCCAGAAGCGAAGTTTTGCTATCCTCCAGATCAAGAGGATCCGAATTATAAAGACTGGTCGTAGCTGTATCGCCTGCTGTGCTGGTGACAGGAGATGTAGCACCCAAAAAGATATCGTCGTCAAAATCTAATAAATTCGGTGTAGGATTATATGTCATAAGTTCTCCACCAGCTGCTGATCCATTCATATTTTCTGCTACTGGAAACAAAATATACAATTTAAACCAACCTTTTGGTTATACTTAAAACATTGAAATAAAAAGGGAAGTTGACAAAAAGTAGTATCATTAACAACAGAAATCAATATAAATGAAGAATACTTAAAAGTCTTACCATTAACATGTTCATCTTCCTCTTTTTCAGAATGTGGATTCAACTCGGGATTAACCGGCATACCAAATGACATTGGGTCATCTGCTCCAAATAACTGTAAATTTCAGTTTATATAATAAAAGACCTTTTACACATGTTACCTACAACTTACCCCAAGAAGTGTATTCGCATCAATACTATACCCTTCGGCACGTAGAATTTCACGAAGGTTTTCCAATTCTGTTTGCATTGTTTCAAGATGATTATCCATTTCTTCCCTAAAGACAATTATTCAAAGTAGATAAATGTGTACAAAAAATTTAGCTCATCAACACAATCTTATTTATGTTTTATAGATAAATAAAGTAAACGTAGAAAATCCTTTCAATATTCATTTTGAAACGTACAATCTTTCTATTTGTTTATATATCATGGCACAACCAGATTAATTTTAATTATAATTTCATTCCTATCTTTTTATAATCAAAAAAATCTATATGATTTACTATTATATCTAATTGTATTGTAAAGGTACTCAGTGTTGTTTATTTTTTTTATTAATATTACTTGTAAAGATATACGACAGTTTGATGTGTTAATTTATACGTTACTAAAATCTTCAGAAGTGGGAGCTGGATACTCATTTTCATATAATAGTAAACATACACGAGCCTGTTGACATGTAGTTTAGCATACAGCCAATTTAAAACTGATTAAAAAATTCCTGTTTGTGCAGTCAGTATATTTAAGAAATTGCAAAATTAAGATTGTTTATTTAGCATTGTATGCTATTAGTGAGATATTGACATTCTTGCAGTGAACAACTTTAAAAATCATTTTCTATACTAAATAATACTCAAACCAAATTGACCTACAAAACCAGGGGAGGTTGTAATATGAAGAACAATAATCAGATTTCTGAAGAAATCATGTAGGTGAAGAGATCTAATAATGATAAGATTACAATATGTATAAGATAAAGATAGTTTCGTATACCTTATTTCAAAAATCTAACAACTTCAATGATCATAGAGAAAAATTGCAAAGTTGAGTACCAGATTTCTGGAATTTGTTTTAGATGAAGTAAAAGGCTGTGTTTAAATCAACAATAAAATTAATATGATAATTTGGAAAATATGAAAAAGATTATACCAAACGGTCCTTATTCTTCAGGCTCTATGGAATATCGTGAAATTCCTAGATCAAAGGCAACCATTTAGAGATCTATTAACAAGATGTCACAAATTATTAGTAAGATATGTATCTGTTAAAGCAGATTTTACTTGAAATCTCTCAAATTGTAATATAAATACAGAAATTGGTTGATTCCCACCTCTGTCTTCTGATTAAGGATTTCCACTATAGATTAGTAGAATGTGCTGCATTGAATATTCTTTACCCATGGACTGTATTGAACTTACATTGATCCTAACCTGTAACTAGCGTCAGACATGCCAGAGGTAACGACGCAACTCAAAGATAAATTTTTTGAATTGCTTGTGCCCGCACCGTTGCAGTTTACTTTCTCCTTCTCCATATTTTTCTCAACATCATTTGTATATGAATCTTTTTGAGTATTCTGTTCAGTGTTACCATCTGCTTTATTGAATTGATTCAAGGTATTCTCGTTTCCATTAATCTCGGTGTTGCCGTTGTTTTCATTATATTCCACGTTTTCGTTGCCCCCATCGTCCTCATCAATAATCTCTGGTACTATTAAAATATCTTCGAGTTTCACCAAAGCAGAATCATTCTCCTGTACATCATCCTCCATATCTGCAGAATTTTCTAAGTCGAGCTCTTGCTCTGCATCAGGTGATTTATTCATATTAGCTGCCATAGCTGCAAGTTTTGAGCTACGTACAGTTGCCACAGGTACTGGTTTAGAAATTGATTTATTTTCCAATAAAGCAATGGTCACTGGAGAATCTTCTAATGGCATTTCAAGTAAATGTGTTTCTTCCCTAAAAAAGTGAGACAAGCAATTGCCAATCTTCGTTATCTTGAGTTAGATCATTTGCTGTGCCATAATCTGTTTTTAACCACATTCTTCGCTACAATTCTCATTGAAGGAAGTATTGCAAGAGCATACATAGATAAATTTAAAGCACTATACAAGAACATGCTTTTAAATATGTAGTGAAATTACAATTGTTACAACATTAGTCAATTTGGAATGTGTAATAATTCAAATTTTTATAAGCAAGCAAATAATTGAAAAAGAAAATATAGTATTATAGCAAGATGGTGTACATGTGTAAAACACATATGAATAAGAATTAAGAAAGTTAAAGAGTAATGGTTATTTTATAATCATAAAATTAAATGTCAATTAATTAGATAGTCACTTCTAAGTTTGCTCTGACAAAACTTAATTTCAACATTAAAATTAATCGTCAAAGATATTCATCACAGGCATATTCCCTTTTTATACTTTCACTGTAGAAAATTCTTTCTAAACCTAAACAAATTGCAACTCTTTAATGGTCAATTTAGTTTGATGGTCATACAAACTACTTACTAAATACATAATAAATATAAATTCATTACAAGCACCGTGTGAAAATACATGATCATGCATGGAATAAATCTTGACACATGTTTATAAAACATATCTTGTAACCAAACTATAATATTATGAAAATATATGTATGAACTTCATATAGCAGATATTAATATCTCATGCACATATGTCCCCTTGAGATATATTTTATGATTAAAACGGATCAACTATAATAATAATAATTAATATATCAACAAATATACTCAGAGGCATAAGTGAAACATAAATTGTAAAATATTAATGTTAACTGAAATGAAATGAAGATAATGTTCAAATTAAATATGAATAATTTAACCAAGGATTAACAAAACTTCTCTTATGAAAGTAACAAATTAGTGAAATAATATCTTTAAAACTTTAACTTTCTTCATTGAACTATCCGAATACAGCAGAATTATAATTAATGTAAAAATTTCAAAAGCAACTATAGATAGTTGGAAAGATTGGTAGATTAGGAGAAAGTCATCTTAGTATCTTAGTTCAATTATTTAAATGAAAAAATGCATCTAAAAAAGAATACTATTATCGCAATATTGCTGAATGTTCATGCAAAAAATGAAACTAAGCAAAATTGCGATATTGTATAAAATAATTTTTAAAGAAGTATGAACACCAACACCAAATGACGACAAGAGAAAAATGTTAACCTCGGTTCCTCTCCATTCTCCGTTGATGGGATCAAAATTTTGACAGGCATCTTGTTTTTCCTCCTGGTAATATTTAAATTGCAATGATATGAGTATCACTGAGAACTAATTTATGTTAAGAAATATGAAAAACAAGTCGTTTATGAAACAATTACATTTTTTTGAGTAGGTAAATAATCATGTTATCATATATATGTGTATATGTACGTGCAATTTACTTTTAGTACTAATATGAAAAAGATGAAACTACTTTAATATGACACAATTTAAAAGATACAAATTTATGCCCCTGTGTCTTTCATTAAAGCATGTAGAGTTCAACTTTAATCTCATGAAGTTAATTATTTAATTACATTCCATGCATGGGAAATAATTGGAATGTGTAAAAAGTATGTTATAATTTGTCTGTTTCTAACATTAATCTAACCTCAGTGAAAGACAAGCAAAATGAGAACACAAAAATATTTTTTCATAAAATAATTGGTGTTAAAAATTTTTTGTGTTTATCATGCAAAATTTCATTTTATCATTCCAAAATGGAAAGATTGTACATGACCTATCTAATACGTCAGTTATTTTAATTAGTAAATTTGAAATAAAAGTTGTATCATAATAGTTTACATTAACTTACTTCTTTTTACCCTTACATCCACGTTTCTTTTTTGCATCTATTTCTTGCGGATTAATCAATTGTATATCATCTTGTAGTTGAACCGAATTATCAACTAAATGAACAGTTTCTATATTATTATCATCCATTATTGATGTATTGTTATGTTCGGGGCTTTCAATAGATGGATTTGAATGTCCTTCCAACATTCTAAATATTAAAAAAAAACATAATTATACATAATTAATTTCTGACAAACATAAAAACGGTAATTTATAACTTGAAAAATAACCTACTCTGCAACAATATACTCTGAATCTAAATCAGGTTCTGATGCATCGAGCTCGTGAATCACAGGACCCGCAGGTGATGCTTGTGACTAAAAACAAAATGTATTTTTGTTTATAATTTAAAAAAAAAATTTTCTTTTACGAAATATACAATTATTACCTTTGATATTTTCGCTTGCTTGTTACGCTGACGATTAGAATCATCAATCATTAGGGGATATCTTCTTTTAACAGAAAGACCACCACTTCTTGAAGGTTGCACTAAAGTAACTAGGAAATGTATAAGTTTATTAACAATTTGCTGTTGTTTCAGATGTTTCTGCCTAAGCATTGCCAGTTCTCTCCATAATGCTTCATTCTCTCTTTTCATAGCCCCTAGTCTTGAATCTAAATGTTCTTGACGACCTCTCATGCTTCTTACTTCACTAAGCATTTTATTCATTAGTTCTGGTTTAATGGGAGTAAGTGCTGGATCTTGGCCTTTGCTTGATGCAATCTGAACAAATTACAATAAAATATGATTGAAATGTAATTATGTATTTATATACATGAAAATACTTACTTTTCTTTTAATATGTTCTACAAGATATGGATGTCCTTTACAAAAAAACTGATGTGCAAATTCCATCTCATCTCTATCACATTTCAAACCCCCTAGTTCAACAGAAACCTTTTTGTGGAAACCATCTGAAGCATGTAAGTGCATATATATTTAACAAACTAGATAATTACATTGTGTTAATTTAACAAATGTTAAATTTTATATATTATTACTTACACATATTTAATTGACGAACAAAGCTGGCCATATTATTATGTTTATAATAATGTGGCAATAATTCTCTGGCAAACTGTGCCTGATTTCGAATAAAGAAACTTCTCCCATTCTAAAATTAATAAACCATGTATAAAATAATCACTTTTGTTTATGATACAGACTGCCTTAAGTAATAAATACTCTGAATGTAATAATTACATTACATAATACAGATATCTTACATACATATATTGATGTTAAAATAAAGTACAATTAGCAAAATGTAATTTCAAAACATAATATGTACTATTATTTTACAATGTTAAAACCATTTAACTACACTTTAATTCTTACAAAATCAATGTAACTGATGAAATATAAGAATAATACTTTGAGGAATAAAACTTAACATAAGAAAGTACCTAAATTTAATTCTGTCTGATGCAATACTAATACAATTGTTTAATGTACATCATTGTTTTATTGATAAGGATTTTTCAAACATATAAGGGAAATGTAAAAAACATAGTACAAGAGTATGCATTAAAATATTATTTTACAATTATATTTGATATCACAGAAACTTAAAACTTATCATTCACCATCAAAATAAATTTTTCATATCTAACAGAAAAACTGATGATTTATTAAGATAATACATTACATGTGATCATAGAAGTAAGCACGGAATATATTACAGCAACGTCGAGTACACGCAAAATATAGGTTGTGTATGTAAAAATGTATGCTACGGAGGTCAACGTTTAGCTTACGTTTGATTCGTTCACTTGCACAATATTAGCATTACGAATGAGTTATTATCGTCGCAACAACGATTACTGAAGGGATATAGTAGAATTATCAGTATATTCTATGTGAAAACTAAGAAACTACAAGTAAATAACAAAATAAAAGTACTTACGGGTGACCAACAAATAAGGTCGTCAGTTTCAGGATCTTCAACCAGTTTCCAAAGTTTGGCAAGAAATGCCGGTACACTGGTACCTAACTCCGGAATTGTATGCATCTTAGCGTCAACAGTGTAACTTCAATATGTAATAACTGCTCAGTTTTGAAACTTAATCCACAACGAAAAAATCTTCACATCTCACGACAATGGCTGGCCGCTGACGATGTTATTCTGCTAGTATGTGTAGTACTTACTTACAGGTGGAGAGAGAAGGGGAACTATTTTAATGGATGAATATGGTTGCTTTCCATCTAAAGTCACACGGTACAGACCATCGTTGTTGATTCAAAATTATTGGTGCTTTCCCTTGGAACTGAAATGTTTAGCCAATGAATTAAAAGCATGTTCCATAAATGTTCATCTAAATCAGCCTTTAAGAAAGTTTTGACACAGCATAAAGTAAAACACGTTTTTGATGTAGAATTGTAATCATTAAACTCTATATCAATCATAGATGCGTAAAAATGTTTATTTATACATTTTATAATTGGTTTATAAATTTAAACTGATGATTTATCTACTGTCGGCAAATTAGTCGATAACTTGGCAAGTTGTTTCCGCTGTTTTTAAATAGATGGGGCTGGGAAGGGTCGAGGAAAAACTGCGAATTCCCCGTCGGTAAGACAGCCCACGACAGAAAAAATTAAGATCCAACATTGCTTTTTAAACATTTATATTTATTTTTACACAAAAATGATTAATACTGTAGCATGTTTACACGTTAACAATACAATTTATATTTATGTAAAACATATTAAAAGTATTGAATATTATACCACTAACAATAATTATTAATGAGACCAAAACTTTGTTAACAAATTAACATGTATACATAAAAATTTGTATAATTTACACAAAAAGATAATAATTCTTTTTCTAACTTATCACTGTAACAACTTCAAATCTAATTAAGTTATATAATATTCATACATTTAACACAAACTTATCAAAATTAATATAAGTACATAACATCACATAATCTTTTGATTATTAATTGGTTAACAATATGAATATAAAATTATAACAATGTAATAAAAAACCTCAACTAGTCAATTAATCAAAAGAAGATTATAGTTGCCGTGAAACATCTATTAAACTGTAATATTGATAGTTAACCAGTCTCCAAGTAACATTGACTAAAGAGAAGTTGTCAAATAAATTATATTTACCCTATTCCAATGTCAAATTTACCATGTAAAATTTAAAAAAAGGAATACATGAAAATTTATAAAATGCGATTAAAGCTACATTTATAAATAGTAAATACTTGAGAGATATTAATGGCACTTTGTATATTTAAAAGATTATTTGCACTATTGTTTTGATTACAAATACATCTAAGAATGCCTGTAATAGTAATCCATTTCAATTAATAACTAATTAAAATATATTTACTTACAAGAAGTCTTCTGTAGATGTTACTGTAGCTTCTATAAGTAGACCAAAATCTAACTCGGTTAAACTAGCTGAAACACAGAATGAATGATCATAACAAGTAACACAGTTATTTGTATTATTAAATTTAGCATACCTTTTGCTGTAAGAAGATCAAGGAATGTATCTAATGGAGATAAACGATCTGCAGATGGAAATGCAGCTAAACCTACACACAATGTATAAGATACTATACATGTTAAAGTTACAGTTCCTATGATTTATCACAATTTATTTTTACCATTGTGATGATTTTTGTACTGCAATGTCCTGCCGCGATTTTGACACACTTCACCAGACAAAATATTAGCAGCGTGTTCACGAGCTCTCAACATAAAACTTACAGGATGCAACCATTGATTCAGAAGCCTTTTAGCTCGAGATCTTGGTAATAAAGACAGTAAAGTTAGTTTACGAATAACATTTTCTTTTGTATCACCAATATCTGTAAAAAAGTATGAAATTAATACAACATAGAAACAGCACTAAGTTTTTGTATTTTGAATTTAAGAAAGAAACATCTACCAGCCATAATAATTTTACTGACATCAACTTGTAACTCAAATACTGATCGTTGTACATATTGCAAAAACATTGGATATTTTAAACTTCTGTATCCAAGATAAGTAAAGAATGATGTAAATCCTTGCGGTGCTGGAAATGCTATGCTTTCTATTGCACGTCTATACCGTTCTAATAATACAAACAATAACCACCGTCGTACTTCATCCAATTGATCACTGAAAGTAAAAACAGTTTAAATTTTATTAGAATTTATTAATAGTTTTATTAGAATGTTTAAAAGCTCACACGAGAATAAAACCACGTTCTTGTTCAATTCGTGGGTCCACGCTGGCAGCTCGGCATAACATTTGACAGAGGACTCGTGAAGTTTCTAATTGCGCTGCTACATGTCTAGTTGCCATAGCATGGACATGTAGCGGAGTACACGATCCTTGAATATGTGTTATTGATGTCTGTGTACCATGTTTTAATAAGTACATGGATAATTCTCGCAAGTTTACGGATACAATATGTTCTTGTTTTGAGGCAGTACAGCTTTCCATTTCATTAAACGGTAAACCTGAATCTAGCAATTTACTGTTGCGACCACTTGTTAAATCTCCAAGTGATACTGTAGCGACAACTAATCTGTAATGATATACATTAAAGTCAGTTAAAAATTTGCGCATGTTAATTTATACAAGGATTATGTAATTTAATTAGGACATACATCTGATTAAAAGCATGCAACTTTCCATTTGTTAACTATTGTTGTTAAACATATATACATTTTCTTAATTATATAAAACAGTATTACCCTCCACTTGGAGACATTGGAGTACTGGATCTGGATAGTGCCTCAGGTTGATAACATGCTAAAGAAACTAACAATTTCTCAGCAATTTTGCTTGGTTTGAATCTTGCCTTGTCTCCATTATTTTTACTGAGTTGATCCCATAATTTGGTCCATAAATCGCTACGGTAAGGAATTAATCTTTGCTGAGGCGAAAGCAACATTACTGATGTATTCCAAAGTTTCTCATGACTCAATGTTATATTTAAATCGTTCACTTTAATTTCAAAACTTGTGTACTCTTCCATAGTTGTAACAGGTAGCAATGCCAGTAGAGGTATAGCATCTGCTAATAAATTTTTTTGCACTAAAGCATATGAACCACCGATAAGAATTTCTTGCATATATCGTACAATTTCCAAGGATCTAGGTTTCTCTGCAATTGTGCATACTAATTCCGAAATAATATCCAAATCGTTTTTATGACAAAGAAAGTAATGCAATATTCCCAAGCGTACTTCGACCGAAGTTTCTTTACGAAATACTTCAGTAAGAAAATCGGGAGAGATTGTTAATTGTACTAAATCCAGCGTAGGTAAGTCTATTGTTAGTATATTGACATTAGAAAGAGATGTATTTCCTTCTAAAGCGGCTATGTCATATTTCTTTTTGCTTCCTTTATTATTATTTTCTAATTCAAGTAGTGGCACTAAATAAGAAGCATGAGATGGCAGAGTAGTCAGAGGACCGCATAGTATATGGCAACATGGTTCATGATTCGTTCCAATTTCAAGAAGATGGGTAAATAAACCTTGCACAAGAACAATAATATAATCATGTTCATATATTGCAAACGTTGGACGTATGAGTTTAGCCTGAGACCATGGTATGCCTGGTATCACACAATGGATTACACAACTATGATGAAGAAGCGTTACCGAATATGCAAAATGTACTGTATTAGATTCACTCAATGAGTTAAGTACATGCTGTTGTGGCTTTACTGGACGATATAAATAGTGATGACAGACACAAACCATTCCTTTGGAATCAGAAATGACTATGAGATCTAAGGAACAGTCATGCACTCTTAAAGGTATCACATCATCTTCGTAAGTTCCACAATTAGAAGAAGTTGATAACTGTGGCAAATTCAGTGGTATATTCAACTAAAACAAAAAACATGTTTAAACACATTCGAATTATTCAATTTATTACCATAATGTACTGTGTCACATACCACTGTTTCATGTGGTAGATCGGCATGAAACTGAAGACCGCTAAGCGTTGGATTGGTTCTCACAGATTTATTTTCTTTCCCATCTTCATCCTCTGAATCTAAACTCACTGGAATTCGTCTATGATGTATATGATACAAAACCTGATTTATCATATCCCATTGGGCCCAAATAAATTCTTTAACCAGTGATTCAGATTTTAATTCCTGTATTGGTTGAAAATCTGATGTAGATGTATCAAACAATATGGTATATATTAGAATACCTGTGTAAGTAAACAATTGAATTCATAATAATTAATAACAAAAATATTTCAGAATAACTTAAACACATTAAGAATAACTTCTTACATTCTTGGTGAATTAATAACAAGAATTTGTCCCATTTGCCATGTTCTTTTTCTTTATATAAGAATTGAATTCTCACTTGCTTAGACCTTTTTGCATCTAAATTATGGATTTTTACTTCCTCTCCTTTTAATTCTGCTACATATGCTTCATACATTTCAATCTCAGTTGATGTACTTTGATCCTTTTCTTCTTCAGATTCTATACTTTTATCTAAATTAACTTTTTGTTTTATCACATATCCAAAAACAGTTCTACTTTGATTTATTGTTGCTTGTACAATATTTAATACTTCTGAGAATTGGTGCAACACCTGTATCATGTTATTTATAATTTTAATTTTATACATTTCATAAAAACAAAGAAAGACAAATATTCTTAGATATCAATCATACTTGTAATTTATCATTAATCCGGTCATAATGGCCTATAACAGTATATGAGGTGCTCACACTCTCCTCTACAGTTTCCTCTGTCCATCCCACTAACAGTGATCCATCTTTCTCCTGTCCTAACAATTTCCATTGCTCCGCTGCAAATCATACTTTGATTTCATAAAAACACACTTGTATTTATCTAACAAATATCAACATAATACTGTATTACAAATGTATAAATATAATTCATAAATGTTTAATTCAAAACAAATGATAGATTACCTGAGTGTGCCTTTTCTGGCAAAAGTAAACATAATTTAGCAGCAAGATTTTCTAGCATATCTACTTATAAATTTTTCCTAATAAATAATAGTTTCAGAGATTTTCGTCTAAAACATATAATCGCTTTTAGTTTAATGATACATTTTATGTATATATATATACGTTTTGACAATCAGAGGGTATCGTCTGCTCCAGACACCAGGAGCGTTGACAGGAGCACAAACAATGTGTTAGCTAGAGTATTTACATCTAATGCTTTTTCTGTGCTATTCGGTTCAAGGGAAATGTCACATCCTTCTATATCATCAGCTAGAAGTTCGTGTATCACGATCTGAAATACCGGCGGCGTTGTGCACTGCTTTATTGCGCACTCTACGACTTACAAGGATGATTTTAAGAACTACGTCAGACTAAAAGATCCATGGATCACATGGATCGGTAATTAAAAGAAGAAAAAAGAAAAAAATTCGACGGTCGTAATGCGGAGCAGTCTTTGGTCAAAAAAAGTAAATTATATAATTCAAATACGTATAAAACTCTAGCATAATACTTTGAATGATCTATGCGTTAAATATTGTAGACTACCGCATTTTAATGTATAAAAAATGTAAGCATACAGGGGCAAATTTAGATTAAACAGAGAAGAGTATTTCTTTTGACCCTGTACCATCCCGTCAATTAATTTCTTATCTCTATCCAGTATAATAAATGCCAAGAAAAGGAAAATTTCGAATTGGCAGAGAGAAAGTAGAATAAGACAAGGTGAAGTTAAAGACACAAGGATACAATGAAGAGGCGTAAACCACGCTCGCTCACGGTGCAGTGCTCTCACCAATGGTCCGTGCGAATGTGACTCCGCCCCTTTAAGCGTGGCTAGTTTTCTCCCTTGTGGTTCCATCGTGATTGTCGGCTGTGCTTGGTCGAGCATGCGCATCAGTCTGCATTCATACGAACACGATCAGAAAAGCAAAGCCGCTGACTTGATCACACAAATGCGCAGAAGTAGTATGCGCGCAACGTCAATGCTAGCGGCTACCGATTGGTCCATCGACCACTTGCAGCCCTCTCAAACCATTTTCTTTCTTACTTTCCTTCCCTCAATTTCTCTTTCTCTCTTCTTTAGCGTCTTGTTCGTTCAACAATTTTCATTCGACTGCGTCTTGTTCTTTCTCCCTCTCTCATTATCCGAGATCTTGATTTCCTTTTCACTCGCACAGTTTTAACACAAATTCTCCGTATGCTAATTCGTGTGTGTGTATGTATGTTGAACAACTACTACAGAGAGCGGGCGGGGGCTACATTCTGAGGCTACGCTACTAGCCGGAGAGGAGATTTCTTATTTCTGCTCTGGTAAATCTGTCGCCCCAGTCAGTGAGGCAGCGAAGGGCGAGCCGCGCACCATTGACCGTGTCCGTGCTTCTTTTTTCGTCTCGTCTAGCCCAGCGACCCGACGACGCTGTTCTCCGTTAACATTTTCTCTCTTTATCTCTATCTTTCCTTCTTGTACATCTACAAACTTTCCCTTTCTCGCTTCTTCTTTTATAGAAGAGCACATACGGACACGGTGCGTAGGTACTTACACTTGCCACGTTGTTCTACCGGATATTCAACAGTTGACGTTAAATCAATTGAGTTTTTCCCCTGATCTATCCACTCATGGATGGTAATCTTCTCGTCCCGGTTGGTTGGTTAGTTGTGCGTGAATGAAGGACCTAAACGTGATCGACGCACTTCATTCTTACAGTTTTATTCGACACTGTGACCCGACGTTTCGGTGTTTTCTGTCCGTCTACCTGTTTGTAGATGAACCACGAAGTTGCGTCAACTTGTTGCACGTTGCATCAGTGAAGTGTCTCATCGACGTTTTGCCGATCATCTTGGTGTTCCACTTCTACCGTTCAAACGGTATTGAACGCATCTTCAAGATGACTACAATGCACGGATCTCTACGGCAAAAGAAAATGTGAAGTCACAGAGATGCCAGCGCGTAGGGGAACGCAAGGTGGTGCAAGATGAAAAGAGTGTAAAAGAACCGGATGTACTTGGCGGAACTTGGAGAACGTGTATCAGATTGAAAGACTGGAGAACACTCGGTGGGCTGAGAATTCGGCAGGCCGATAACGTTAATAAGATTAAAGTAATCGGGTGGAAAGACTTTATCGACGGAGAACCGTTTGAAGAGGTGACGGAGAAACCCGCGTTGCATGTAGCCGACGGCTGCTTGGCTTCCCTTCCCTCATGGATCCTATTGTGCTAGGTGAGCAATCGTCTCTGCAATTTATAAACTATGTAAAATAACATTGTTCGACATCTCAAGCTTAATTATGTAACACCTGTACAACCGTACAGGGTGGGTCATGCAACGGGAATGAGCTTCATTTACATCAAATTAATTAGCTAGATTGACCCTCTGAAGTGGATTAAAAGGTTAAAGGGACCACTCTTACCGCAATGATTTTTAAGTAAAAGTTTGGAACAACTTCTATCAATCCACAGACGATCCCTATTTCTCCTTGTTCTCGTTTCTTTTCTTGATAAAAGATCGAGGAAGTGGTCCATGATAAAAGATCGAGTCAGCTTAGTGTGCAACGTGTGTGTGTCAATCAACTTCGACCTAATTGAATTTATAATTAAACGAGAGACGTGGCGCTTCGTTGTATCTTGCGGCGCCGTCGCTGGCGACTTATTAATTTCGCGTTAACGCGAATGATAATATTAAATAGGTTACCAATCATGTCTTACCAACACCTAACTGATGCACGTGTCTTTGTTTTCTTCGCATCTCCGCTTTGTAACTGATACAAAGCACCTACTTTTCTTTTTCAAAAGCTTCAAAGTCCAACAGAGATATAGCAACATGATGAAGCGCGAAAATTCAGCTGGAACGATGAAAACAATTGTGTTACTCGATCGAATAATTAGCGTGTAAAGGAGCGTACGAGTCGGTCCATTCATAGAAAGTTTATTATACTTATTTCTCTGGCAACCTTTGACCTTGCTGCTGGGTCCCGGATACCCTCTCAATCCTTATCGCACCATGCTTTCAATCTCTTTTTTTCTCAAACTCTCAACCAGCCAAAGCAACGACGTACAAGTTCGTTCGATCGGTGTTTAACCTTTTCACTGTTAAATCCTAAATTTTTGTGTCAAGGCTCTCTTCTCTTTTGATGAAGTTTCTCTTCATCGAAAGAGATGACTGTTGTTTTCTACCTATCAAGTACCAGCTTTTCCTTATCACCATAAATTGTTTTTTCATATTTTTCATACATTCTTGCCCTCGTTTCCATCAATTTACTCCAATTGATATTCTTCGATCATTTTCTGTCCAATTTGCTCCAAGATACTGGAAGAAGAAATGGTCGATGCATGAAGAACGATATGTCCAATCAACGGTATTGAAACGAGACGGTATCGTGACCCACATATTGGTAAAGCTGGAGCATAAATCTTCAAGATGTACCACGTTTGTTGTGACGCGTGAAACGCTGCCGATGACCTAGATCTAACGTGTTTTACCCTTGCTGCAATTCCCGATGATTCGATGATGAGGACACCAGATTCATTTGGTGAGAAGAATAATCCTCCTGAAAGAATTTTTTTAATTTTCATAAGTATAGGTATATATATATATATCACAGGTCTGGGTTACGATTGACCCAGAATTCTATGGTTACTCCTCTGCAAGAACTCGAAAAGATTCCAAACGTTCTTGCTTATTCGAAAGATTCGAAACATTCGAAATGGTGCAAAAACAACGCAGAAGCGTTGTATTTTATAATCGTTCTTTACAGAGTATCGTGACAAATTTTTATTGTCCATCGTATCTCCCACGTTACTTACACCCGCCGCGGCCGCGGCGCGTCGGCAGAAATACGTTCTTTGGTTGCGTTATCGTTCGAATACGTTTCCAATATATACCGTTACATATCGAGGTCTTGAACCGTACATGCGGTTACGACTGTATTGGTGTCAATGACTTCGGAGATTGTCAACGTCATCGGAAGAAAAAAACGCAGCGACTGATAACGCGGGCATTTTAAACAGACGGGGATCGTTTCACTTTTCTATCATTCTTCTTTGCGTCCCATAACAATTTCTATTTGCGAATTAGAGTTGTCGCTTGTTTAAATTCAACGTTACATTTCTAAGCCAGGGTGGTTAGGATTGTACCTGGAGGAAGCTTCGTAGTTCCACGAAATTGTTGACGCTGACAGGAAACGTACAGTTACAGATTCATTAGCGTTCAATTAGTACCGTTTGTTCCAGTTAAACAAGGAAGCAAGCTTTTAAAAGGTCCGGTTGACACAGGACTGCTCAAATACTTGTATTAGCTTCTGGATGTCTCTCGAACTACCTAAAGACCGTTTATCCTTGACTTCTACCTCCCTGTGTTCCTCTGAAATTTTAAAAGCTCTAAGATAATTTGGTTGCTAATTTCTTTGTCCTTTTAAACACAAATCTTCTTGCGTTTGTGATTGCAATTTTGACTCTCCTTAAGATCAAGCCAGCTACGTGCCACTCTACGCTTTTAATAATATAATAGATTCAACTTTGAAACATGATTGTATGTATATAAAAGTTTATGACGTTATCAACGTTAATGTTCTGATTGATAGGCGTGTAAATGTAGCGTGTATTTGGCTATGAAAGCTACACGACAAGGTGGAACGTATTCTATGCTCTATTAGATACCGAATACATTCGTCTACGATCGCGCGATGAAACGATGTTGAGATGTATGGTTGACAAGTTATTACTTGCACGATTTGGACGTGAAGTTCTGCATAGCCGTACGCTGATTCAAAATCCTGGCGGCCCGCCACACTGGGATTCTTCTAATAGCTCATCCCAAAAACTCGTGACCGTAGATCGTTTGAGTTGAGTAGCGATTTTGGCGCGAAGACAATTCGTCTATTCTCTTCGACATTCCTTTCGGAGTAGATACTTCTTAGAAAAAAAAAATAGAAGATAACAGTTGCAAGCTTGCGAGCTTGCAAGTTTTCAGGTCAATGCGTTGATACTGCAAAAGAGAAAATTAGCAATATTATCTTCAAAAGTGGAAACACTTTTTATTTAAAGGATCTAGAAAATGAAAAATAAAAGGGAAATGTACTTTTGGCGGTGTAGATTTTTTGTTCGTCGATTGGATATATTTCCGTCCCACTGTCATCGCGTATTCCAGATGTGAACGCGGTTCACGCACACGTACAAGAAGTTGCCAGATAAATTTTGCACCAGTGTATTTTAGGTGCACGAAGAAAGGTACAGTCCCTGGGGAGAGAAGAGGGGGGGTAGAATAATTGAGGGAAAGTTCAATGAGAAAAAGAAAAACAAATGAAAACCGGGCAAAACGACAAGAAGAAGCCATAAAGATTGAAACTTGTTCTTGTTGGTTCAGAATAGCCCGATTGGTGGTGAAACTTGAAAAATACACTCGGTGTTCGATCGGTGTTTTCAAAGTGTATAATCGGAAAATAACATTATAATTAAATCGAGTGGTAGACGCGTCTGGAAATTCGCAGTGCTATGATGAAACTATATTCGACGAGGTCAAATGGTTATCGTGAAAAATGTAGCGCGATTAGCGCATAATTAATTTCCTCTTGCGTCAAGTTGCATAAATTTCGTACCTATAAATAGATCGTTCGTTAATCTGGTAAAAGAACTGGAAATCAGTTCTTCCGATATGAGAAACGAATAAATTTTTCCTATCGTACGAAAAAAAAAATGATCAGCATGTGTAATATATCTGTGGGTTCAACGTAAACTATGCTTGCATCTCTACGCACGTGGATAACACGCGATAACATTTGGTCAACGAGAAAGCTTCGACTGGGACGGATTTGTTGCTGCAAAGAGACAAAAATGCTGGACGGTAAAGGATCCTTTTCGGTTGAACGCTGTTTGGCCGGTTCCCAGATTACCAGGCTTCTGGAAGTAATGATGAAACGTGACAAGCCTATTTTAAACACTCGTAGATACACGTGTTATAAATCTATGCACATACCATACATCAGTTCGTTGTCGAGTATCCTGACTGAGTAACGAGACTTGTAACCCTTCAACTTAGGTGTCCTCATAGAGCAAGCTTTGAAACTTCGATCTGAAAATTGCTGACGATTATATAGTGGATCGTTTCAACTTCCTCCACGTCCTGCTGAAAGATTAAGGAGTTTTAATTTTGTAAATTCTGACGTGTCGTTGCGACGAACTAATCACTGACATGTGCTGAACGTCGCGCGGCTTGGCACCGCGGAAATTAAATTAAAGATCCGTTTCTATAAAGGCATGGAGGCCGACAAAGAGTAAGGTTTTGAGGGTCGATAATTAGCGAGTGAGAATGGTAGACAAACACTGGCCGCGTTTGGGCCAATCTATGTAAGCGAAACACATGTTTTCGAGGGTGACACTGACATCCATCACTCGTTTCGTGCACGCCCACATCTCGGACCATACTTCACCGTTCACTTTTCTACTTATAACAGCGGCTTTTGCTCGTCCTTTTATCCGCGACAATTTGTTCCGCCTACCCGGTATCGTTTTCGCAAATTTCCAGTTACGAAATTAGCCGATCCACCCCGCTCGTGTATCGTTCGATGCTTTTTTCTTTTCTTTCCTCCCCTGCTCTCTCGGCGTTTATATGTCTATTTAAATTTCTTTGAAAAAAAAGCTCGAGATTATCAATTACATCCTGGACCACTTGACTTCCATCATTTATTCAACATAATCCATGACTGTTAAAGATATACCATTGATGTTGGTACAATATAGTCCCTGTTTGACTCAAAACTTACCCCGTATCTTAGGGCGACTTCATGGCGAATCCAGCGAATCGAGGAGAAATAAATTGTAGCAGGGAGATCGAGTGAGCTTATACATCTGCGAATCGTCGCGTGGAACCGGCGATCTAGCCATTTCACGCGCGTACACGCGCGTCAACGTCGCGTTGCGTGCACGCAATATTATTAGGCTTTTTCTCGGGCACAAGGGTGATGAATGGTCGAGATCAAAGGACCCGACGTGTGTAGTCATTTTACACGCGTGTAATACACGTATCCAGACCGACTAGGAGAACACGAACGATTCGTGCGTATGTGTACGCCTGTGTTCTCGTCTCTCCGCACATGCTCTACATCGGGAGAGCCCTTCTCGTTTGGGACATTGGCGTTTACTTTTCGCTAATCCATCGAACCCTTCGAATACATACTGCAAAAGCTTAGAACTTAATATAAAATATTATCTACACTATAGCTTTGTAGTTTGAAAACAAATCATTCTTGGATCTCTGTTTATTTAAACACTCACCAGTTATCCAGAGAACGTGATTTTCTAATCGTTTTAACCAGAGCAGCCTTTTTTCTTATATTTCCCATATAATCTACCATCCAGTGGAACCTTACCAGTTAGGGAGAGCCTATACCTTTGAAAATTTATTACTGACCCCTTATAGGATTTCTAAAGTCGAGTCCTCTAAGGCCCATTGATTAATATGCTTCAAGGGGCAAGAAAGATGTATTTGCTTTGGATCGTATCTGAAAGTGCAGGTGTTTAATAATATTTCACATGTGATAAGGATTTCTTATTTCCTAAATTTGTATCTACTTCGAATTTTGTCAACCGTCGACAGATTCATCGAGTAACTCGAAAGATAGATGTTTCTGAAAAAGCCTGGATATTCATCGTAATTATAAATCTATCAGAGGAACGGTTTATTTCCTCGTTAATTACTCACCTATATAAGAGAGAGCCGACCAAAGGAGCGCATAAACCATGCCTCTTGTCTCTTGTTTAACGAGCGTGCACTGCTACTCCCTCGCGATCGAATGTTAGCCGGCAAAAAGACGGAGCTTTAATGTAACGCGGGTCATTAAGTCCAAATCGTTGGAGTTTAACGGGCCACGTCGGGGTCGTTCCACGAAACAGCGATCCGCTGAAAAACCTGTGCTCCTTTCACTGGGGTGATTCCTGGAAAATCATCGTTTATCTTTCAATTAAATCCTCTGTGGAACTGTTTTCTTTTCATTTTATCGGTACTCAAATAACAAATGTAGGTAATATTGTCAATTTTTTTATTAAACCCTGACCCCTTCATGAGTGATATTTTCAGATACTTTTATGTAATGAAATCATGTTAGATTTTCTATGAAACAATCTAATAGTTGAATCTAATAGTTTTGACGATTGAAACGTGGCGTAAAGGGCGCGTGTTTCGCGCTTCTGCCAAGAAACCGCCATCGTGGAGAGATCGACGAGGGGATGTCGAAATGAATGGTGAAAAAAATGGTGGCCGGTGGCCGGGCAAAAACGCGTCTCTACGGTCGGCGGCGTCGCCGACGAAACTCTTGTTCCAGGAATCACGGAGGCAACGTAGGGCCCTCCTTTCCGCCCGCGGTTTTCTTATTTATTCCTCTTCTCCGTAGCGCGGTGAACGTACATCGGTTGCCCTCGGTGCGTAGAAAGAGAAACGAAGAAGAAGGAAAGCGAGCGAACCGAACGGAGAAACAGGAGAGCCACATAAATTTCCCCTTCCGCGGACAGGAAAGTTCTTCTTCTTCTTCTTCTTCGCTGCATTTCCTTCGCGGATATCCGTCTACCTATCTATTTCGATTCTACGCCTCTTCAAATAGATCCACCAAGAGAGAGAACCTCGATCCTTCCTCGACATCAAAGGACCTGCAAGATGTTTGCACATTAGCGTTTTCATACTTGTAACTATTCGCGAGTCTGACAAGATTCGAAAATAAAACAAGTGGTATGTTTGCTAATTAACACCAATGACTGTCGTGGAGATTACCGATGACTGGCGCCATTAATTTAACATAACCGAGTAAGTATTCAAAGGAAAGAACAATTAAATATTACTAAAAAATTTATATTTGCAATTAATAATTGAAATACTAAAATACTCAAATAATAAAAGATTAACTTACTCGGGGTATGAGTGTTACTCGAATTTTCGCGTTCCAGGGAAAGTTAGAGCAACACGTGAGCACCGGTCTGGGGTTAAAGATAGCCCTCTTATTATGCTCGTAACGGGTTGTTGTCTTTACTTACCGGCGAACGGAATTTAGGTGGATTTGGAACGCAGTTAGGAGGCAATTGCTAGGGCATCGCTTCGCTAATTAAGGGTTGTTACAAGGCAGCTTGGATTAACAGGAGCAGACTGCAACGTACATCTGTATCTCATTAAAACGTACCCTGGTGCCAGGTGTAAGTCTCGATGCAATGTGCATTATAGTCGCGTTATTTAGTGGACTCGCGATTACGTCGCGACGAATCGATGGTAAATTTTCTGTCCTCCTTGCATTCCAACCCGATCGTTAAAATCTGTGAACATTTCCATGAGCATTCATTTTTATAAATCAACATCGTATTGCTTTTATCGCGTTCAGTCGGAAACGCGGTGTCGCGTATCTGAAACAGACGAGAGCAAATAGAACGAAGGATTTATTGGTGGTTTTATGAACTAGTGGAACCACCCCCTAATCGACTACGTCGTCTATAAAAAGCTGACCCAAAGGGTTTTTCCAATCAAACAGGACCATTGATACTTTTTCTTCCACTGGTTCCAACTATTCGTCGTCCAATATTAATTATGTGCTGTATGCTGGTGAATAAGTAACCGACCGCCTCTCTAACATTTTAGTCTCCTATTTTGTATTCTAACTGAGAGCAAGATAATTAACTGTTCTGCCTGTCTGACCCACCCTGTATAAATCTAACTCTATACGACAAGCTATCCCATGTTAAAATCTAATTTACACTGTTTACAATTATTCCCCGGACAGAAAGTAACGCGAGCGAAATTGGTGCAGATCAACAGCAGCAGCAACAACAACCACACCAGCAACAGCAGCAACAGCAGTACGGCGAGGTAAATCAACTGGGGGGTGTGTTCGTGAACGGTCGACCTCTGCCAAACGCGGTCAGGTTGCGAATAGTGGAGCTTGCACAGCTGGGTATCAGACCGTGCGACATCTCGCGGCAGCTGCGAGTCAGCCATGGTTGTGTCAGCAAGATCTTGGCCCGATACCACGAGACGGGTAGCATACTGCCCGGTGCGATCGGTGGTAGCAAGCCCCGGGTGACGACCCCGAAGGTTGTCCAGTACATCAAGCAGCTGAAACTAAAGGACCCAGGCATATTCGCCTGGGAGATCAGGGATCGTTTGCTCTCTGATGGAGTGTGTGACAAATACAATGTACCTTCGGTGAGCAGCATCTCGAGGATACTAAGGAACAAGGTCGGCGCAGCAACCGCGTTACATCATCATCCGCATCATCCGCATCATCCGGCTCATCATCACCATCATCACCATTTGTACGCAGCCGCGGCTGCTGCTGGGGCTGCTCTCTGTCCTGTCCCTTATCCGCCGACGCCTTATCACGCGACGCCGCCACCCGCTGTAACGCATCACCATCATCATCATCATCACCAAGGTTGGTAGATCGAACTGTCTTGTTTCTGCTTGTCTTCCGAGCGAGAACTTTTCTAACGAAAAGTTGCACGAAATGTAAACCAGCGATGGAGTTGGATACTCACAAAAGTTCTCGCTCGAGACACCAACCTACTTGCTAAGCACGGTACGTAACACATTGGTGGAAGAACATCAGGCGCCGTCTCTGCTCGTGTCGTGCACCAAGCGTTACACCAAGTGCAAGACACGATCGGAGAAACTCGGCTCGGTTCTTCATCAACGCAACTTGAAGTGTGCGTTCAGTTCTAGCAGCGAGCTCGCGGGATATCAGGCAACAGTCGCGTCTCTTTCTTCCATCCTGATACGAGCGCTGATTATCGAATTCGAAAGAACCTGTCCCTACCAATTTGGTACCGGTGCGTTTCCAGTTGGTCCAACGACGCCGAGCAAGCTGTCGCCATCGTCGCCGACCTCGATTCACGGTGTTGCTCATCAAACGGCAACCGGTGTTCTGCAATGGCCGAGTCCTCACACGGTTCACGATATCCTCGCCAGCGGCTGCAATTTGACCAACTCCCAGACATCATCGTCGTCGCCCAGTTCACCGCTATGCGCGGCAGTAAACGACAACAATAATCATCATCATCATCATCCTCACCACCATCATCAGAGCAACGAGAACGCTGCCAGCAACAATAACAACGAGGAGACCAGTGGTTATCATCATCCGCATCATCATCACCATCACCATCAGCAGTATTACGCGTCCGCGCTCTACCATCATCACCATCATCATCATTCGGACACTGTGACACCGGTCGCCACCACGTCACCGGTACTCAGCGTGCAATCTATCATGATGCAATCGTCGGTGGCTAACAGTCAACCGGCTAGTCCTTGTAACTGAAACAATTAGATCTTTTTTACAATTACTTGCGAATCTTAACGTGTTCGAGGAAAGAACAAGTTGAAAAGGTTGAAAAGTGATGAAAGAGCTCGGTGAAAATGAATGATCAACTTGTTGAAAATGTGTTTGCGATAGAAATGACCAAATCATTTGTACTCGACGATGACCAAAAGGTAGCATTACGTTATCCTGTAACTAGAAATTATCGCTCGAAGCGATTACGAACGGTACATCAGCACCAGTATTATATATTTTATATCGTCGTTTGCCAAGAGTGCCTTTTATCGAGTGCCATAAAGGATTTAGGTAATGATGTAATCGGCTGTTCAAAGAGCGTTTAAGGAAGTTTCTCGAACGAACTGTATCCATATTATTTAACTGTCTAAATAGTTTTCTGCCATGCTTTTTTTATGGAATGCAACTTTTGTCATGAGGAAATATATATTTTCCTTAATGTTAAATAATAACACTTAAATAATAATTTTCCTTCTCATCTTACCTTCCTAATACATACATTTGCCTATAAATTACAGTTAAATCGCAGAATCCAGAACCTGAAAGAAGTATCAGGTAAGTTTTGGCACGAATCGGGCGAACAAATTGATTAATAAAAATGATCGTTGATTTACCGTGAAAGTCTTGGAGGGATTGGTCCGGTAATGATGCATTTCGGACAAACTGTTATGATTTTACGAGGGGTGGTATCACTATAATTAACCAACATTTTTTTTTTTTGCGTCCAACATTAATCTATTTCCTAGCTTACGGCTCACTTGGCACGCTGAAGAGTTCGAGAATACAACGGTGCTTTAGATTCCTTACGATTCCGTTCCTTCTTGGCACGGTACACACCGCCTTTAAGAGACACCGTTTCTTGCAAATGGTACACCAAATGCTTCGCGAACCTACTATGCTGATTCGAACAAGATTACAAAATTATAATACATAGTTCATACCGTTCGAATTGTTCAAAGTATTACTTTATTTGGGTTAACATGTTCGCCACAGGCTGAGGGTTGCGGATATTCGCTAGGCGACTGACTGTAAAAATGAAAATACCATTTAGTCTTTTATAAATACGGCATTTCGCACTTTCAACAGTCTTGTAATGTACGCACGTATATAAGTACGCCGATTCGTGCGTAATAACCGATAACTGCTTGATTGATGCTTCCATTCCGAATAATCAGAAGCATTTCTCTGTAACCGATGATAACACGCGTACAATGTTTAATGAGCTGCGATATCGTCCTTCATGCCTACAAGCTTACAACTAAATTAATCGTTTCCTCTCCTGTTTTTCAGAGAAACAATATTCCTCGAAGAACAATAATTGCTCCATCGATTTTCAATTAAAGAGAGAAAATATAACGCTTCTTCTTTATTTTTTATTAATTAATCGTTAGTCCCCAGCAACCCTCATGGTAGCCGACGTGTTAAATATTGTTTTTTGATTTTAAAAAAAAAGGGCGATTCACGTGGAGTAGCTTGTGTCAGAGCGCGCGCGCGCGCTCGCAACCGACGAGCTTATAAAAGCAAACAAACCAGCGTTGTCCAATCAGCGTTGATCGAGCGTGAAATCCCTCCTCTTCGACGAAATTAGACACCCACTCGGCGTTCCCGACTTCACCAACCTCGGTCAAAATAACCAATGATAGTTTTTCCAATGGAAGATGATATAAAACGCTATTCGAACACCTTTTAAATAGAACATGTCTCATTTTACTTAAACCAGTTAACTGAAACAAAATATGGATTAGTTTCAAGAGTAGAAAAATTGCTTTCTGCGATGAAAGAACTTACAACACCAGCGTCCTCCATTTTGCGTTGAAAAGATAGGAAAAAGTCTCTTCCGCGTGAAAATCTTGCTCGCTGTCACTTCTCCTGTCGACGTACGGGTGGGTATGGTTTTCTCGTCACATTTAGGCGCGCATAACATAATGAGAAGCGTTGCGGCGTAACGGGCCGTCTCTTTGAAATACGAATACCCCGTTTCGACTCTGCGGTGAGATACCCCGCCCCGATACTCTATTACTTCCTAGTCAAAGGGGCGAACCTGCACACAGGAGTCACTTCTTTGGAAGTCGTTCAGTGTCGGCTTTCTTCGTTCTCATTAAGGGTGCACCGATCTTATTAACTGCGGAAAGGAAAGGGAAGACGGGAAGTCACCTCTTGGCCCCTGCTACCATTCCATTTTCCTGAAAAATCATCATTACCTATAAGTATCTGAAGCGTCAAGTGTTATGATTCAAATGTTAAAGCAAGAAAATGATTGGATAATTGAGTGAAATAAAGAAAAGCATAAATACACCCTCTAATATCAGAGGAGTGAACAGACATTGGCCGTGAAAAGGCATATAAATTTCCATGGGAAATATACGTCGCGTCAAGTTTCTTTTCTTTTGTCGGAGAATTGAGAATCAAGCGTGAGATAAAGGTGTCCGATGGAACCCTTAAAATACGGTGACTCGTAACGCCGCGTGCACGGTCTTGCGGCACGCCGGCCTCGCGAACTCCGTCGCGCTCGATTACGAGCTACGCCATGACGAAGATACGCTAATAAATTAACGGGTAAATAAACCCTACGGTAGGGAACAGGCTGCCGCGTATCCGACTTGCTTAGAATAGAATAGAATGTATTAGAAGAGCACGGGCGATTAATGGTCCGTCGTTTCGTACGGTTGGAAGGTGCAGTGTCAACGTCGAGCCGCACGATTTCTTGGGAACGAGCAGAAGTAACTAGACTGACGGAATAACTACTCTTACTTTGAGAAATGTGAAACCTCTTCGAAGATATTAACAAGCATTTTGATAATCTATTCATACCTATATATCATGGTGAAAGGGTTTAAGAGTTTCCTATGGTGATGATGCTTCCTCATCGTACACTTCAATAGCTTAATCTGCAACGACTTACAGAATAACAGTTTAACTTATACCTACTGATGTACAAATATTTATTTATGATTTCATTTGTTAGAATCGAGCATGAGAAAAGATTAGATCATTCACCTAAATTTTGCATCTGTCCTCTAGTTTTATTAGCTTCGCGATAGCAAATAGGAAAATGAAAAGAGCGCAGGGTGGAACGTGGTAATTAAGGAAGCTTCCCGTTCACTTGGTCCTGCGAGTTTTTTTCGTCTGTTGGCGGGTCGAGTCGCGTTTTCCATTCGGTGTACAAATAGCTCCGAGACCCCTAGCCCCTGTCGGCTTCTCTCATGTCTACGAGACGCGGCGCGTCGCGTCGCACGCTTCATGCTTCTGCGCTAGCCGATGCCGGGAGACGTCGCTCTTACTTTTAATCTATTCCTCGTCTTTTTTCCCTCGTTTCCGTGCTTCAGTAGTGGATAGTGCGCGAGAAATGTCGTGCGTTCATCTTGATTGATGTTAAAGATGCTTCTTCTAAGAAGCCATATGATCCTCATGATGAAACGATGATACTAGAAAGAGACATTTATTGTACTATAACGTATCTACCACTCTAAATTTAATCATTTCATAATTTACATTATGTATACATAGTGGATTAAAAACTTAAGAAATTAAGTATTACTGTAAATATACTTTCTTGATCCACTGTATAAATTTAAGCGGGAAAGAAATTTGAATTGATCTATCAGTGTTACCAATATGCCTTTCAATTGCATTTAGCATTATCTGCAAATATCTAATTTTCGTTGAAATTGTATAAGAAAAAGATTACTATTTACCATTTTCAGTAGCTACTTTACTAAATTCCACAAGGAAGAGAGGAAAATAGAGTAAACGACGACTCGGAGACGCATTGGCCATATTTCGAGGTTGCATAGCGGAACGCCCCTTTCGTGCCATCCCCTCCTGTATTCGAATATTAACGGAGAAGATAGAAAGTCTCGTTGAATTTGCCGGCAAAGCCTCTGAAATACGTTCCGGGTGCAAATTAGTAAATAAATTGTTACACTTAATCTTGATTCTTCGTTTCTGTTGCATTTTCTTGGTACTGGACAAACTGGCGATGTGGGGCTGTACCACTTGAAATTCAATCAAACGACAAAGTAACGAACTACTAAAATAGATGCTAAAATTAAAGCCAGTATTGATACTTAAAATGAAAGAATATCGCTTCTACTTACACATATTTCAAGGGTTGGAATTTGATAAGAGATGACTAGTTGATTGATCATTCTTCTGTGAATTGAAACTATTATTAATTAACGTTTTTCTGGAATGCAGCAATGTGCTTGCAAAAGACGCTGATACTCTAAAGCGACATCTGTTTTAAGCTAAATTGGATTTTGAAATACCTGTTGATGGTATTTCATTATCGACAGAGGAATTCAATCGCATAAAAATTGATTTTTGAAAGATTAGAACAAAAAATGTTATCTTTTTATCATATAATAAATATCTTTTAATATTATTACAAATAAAAATCACCTCCTTCATTTTTCGTATCGATTAATATTTATTATACACGTGACAAATTTTTATGCGTCGTATAATTAAAAGAACAGAATTTTAAAAAAATTCGAACTATAATACGTTAGCATAAGATATGCTTGGACTTGAAATTTATGTTACTCTATTCTACCATATACGTTCACGTATGTATTAAAAAATTCATATTGTTACAAAGTAATCGATAAACGGACTATTATACATAACTTTCAAATCTAGAAAAATTATTGATTTCATTCAGGATAGTTTATCAACATACTTATTTCTCCACCATGTTCCTCATTCTACTTACAAAATGGTAGTTACATAAATAATATGCTACAACAGCCATCATACAAATATGTAACATTTAAAAAATATGGGATTTCAATGAACTGCAACTATTCCTCCTTAGGTCTAAGATAAATTCGAATAACTTTCGTCATTTGACGCATGATGAAAAAATGAGTATGTAATCTGATGAAGGGAATGAATTTGTATCTATATGAGAACAAGTAGAAAGTGAAATCCTTTCAAAAATTGTACAATGTATCCACACGCATGAAGTGTTGTATAAGAAAAACTTTTTTTTTCGTTGGACCATCCAATGTACGTAATATGTACAATCACTGTAAGTACATTTAATACTAGCCATTGTTTTCATCTTTCGCCTCCTCTACTTGCGTTTCTTCCTTTACTTCAACGTCATTTGTATTATCGTAGTTTTCATCCTTCTCAAATTTTACTGGAGGTGCGACTGTTTCAGTGGGTTCTGGCTCTATATTTTGTTCTGGGTTTGGATCACGATTCTCTTCTCCCTCTTCTGTCGATTGCTGAACTTCGGTCGGTGCATTTAGCGTTGTTGATCCATCGAAACTCTGTTGATGCTTATTGAGACCTACTTGAACTTCGATTAGTTCAAGTTCTTCGACTAATGCTTTTTCTCTTCGTTCAATTTCCTCTGTAACACGAATTACAGGTTTAGCAAATTTGTTTATTCGTTATTAAATATGAAAATCGTTATAAAAATAACTACCGTGAAGTTCTTTTGCAGACTGAGCCAATAAAATATCAGTTTGTGGATGTTTACGCTTTGGTATATAGTAAATAGCGGGTTGCGCACGCGTTTTTATGAAACAAGCTAGCGGTAATTGTGCAGCACGCCAGTCTTGAAATTGTCGACTACGTGCCAACTTTGCTTCCAACGCTCGTACTTCAGCTAATTGCCGTTTGCGTGACAAAAACAACTGCTGTCTTTCTCTTCGTAATTCTTCTTTCTCCCGTCTTCGAGCTTCTTCTACCCTCGCCTCTACTTCTGCCTTTTTATCTTCCTATACGAGGAAAGACTTGCTTACTTTTTAAAAATATACTTTAATACTTTCTATGCCAACCACAAATATACCTTTGCTTTTAGCTTAGTTTCCTCTTGTCTAAACTTTTGTAATGTACCTAAAAGAGCCCCAAACATCCGTTTATTCCTCTGCCGACTGCGTTCATCCACTCTCTCGCGTCTGATAACTTCTTGTCTAGATGGAATCTCTCTTGGAGTTGCTATTACCCTTGAAGACACTGCTGGCTAAGATAATTATTATATAATGATATTTAAAATGCCACAATAAACATGATGGATAATAATAAATAGATAAACTTATTTAGTTTTACCTTGATAACATTATCATCCTCATCAGCACTGTCATCATTATTGGAAGGTACACGTGCACTTAAGCGACTGAAAACTGTTTTTGGTTCACCATTTGAACCCTGCCATCTACGTTTTCCTCCAGGTAATTCATTATTGACAAAGTCTGATACAACACGCCGTCTATCTTCCTGTAGTGGTCTTTTTTGAGATAGTCTACTGAAATTACATTGTAAAAAATCTGATTTGAGTTTAAATTAATATTGAAACTGATTTGAATAAACTAGAACACAACCAATACTGTTCTTTTCTCAAATACAATTCTTAAAATACAGAAATTTAAAAAAAACGGACTGAAATCTGTAAAATGGTTGGAAGTGTTTTGGATACAAAATGTAGGTTATGTTTGGAGTTAACAGTGTTACACTAAGCGATTAATAAACCTTTAATATAATGTATTTTGTGTTAAATAACATTTTTCTAGAGTCTGTTAGGGATAAATGATATAACATTATTATATATTTAACCTGGGTGGTGGTTGTAATGGGCCGTTTTCTCCATCAGGGAGATCCCGGCCCAAGATTTTCCGAATACTTCGATCGAGACCTCGAAGACCATCTCGGGCTGCCTCTAATTGCGCCTCTAATCTTTCAGCGCCCCAGGCCTCTTGCACATCTAATTTTCTCATCTATTTAAAGTTCACTGAAACTGCAAAATTAATTTATTTAACAAACCACAACGATTGTTGATGAACCGCATCACTGTCGTGGAGCCACCTACAATTTCGTTCCTTTTTCCAAATCGATAAGCGTCGGGATTTTTCTTTATGCTTGTGGATCATTCATCTAGTAAATTTCTCCTAATTCCGATTGCAAATCGATATAATAATGTTTTAAAACATGTATATAACATCCGAAAATTATTAAAAAATGAACATATGATAGTTTTAAGCAGAATCCTATCTTTATCGTAATTAAATACTTCTATCATAGTTGAAGCGTTCAACAATATGATAATATTCATGTTATGATTTGTAAAAATTCATTGTAAATATAAATACAAATTTTATTCATACTAATGTAATAATCTGTGATTTTTTTATAATCCTTTACATATTGCTGCTACATGTGGATTAGATTATACCGCAGTTCACCAGAGTCCATAACTGCGAAAAGACCAGTTTTCGTTCTTTGCGCATCTCCAGTACGCATCTTCGCCCTGATTGGCGATACTCCCAAACGAAGTGGAAAGCGATTAGCAGAGAGCTCGCTGCGTTCCCCCACCATCTTCCAACCTGCACGTCGCACTTATGGACTCTGGTGAACTGCGGTATAGAAGGATTTATTGGCGGGCAAATTACAACCTGTAAAGGGTTGAACACACGCAGTGTTCGAATTTGTAGTGCCTTACCGAAGAATACTTGTTTTTTTCTTATTTATATTTATAATATGTTATCATAAATTATTTAGAAGGATTAAATATTAAGCAATATGGCAAGTCTACAAAATACAGGGAAGTTTCAACCCTTTAAATCCAATTTTAAGAATGATCAAAATCAAGAGGGAAATACATTAGGGTATCATATTATATGTTGAATACATATTTTAACTAAACATATAATGTTTAATTGTTAATCTTCCTCTATACTTTTTTCCAGAGAAACTTCAGGGGGAAGATTAAATCAAGTTAATGAAAATATCAGAGTAGATGGCTTGTATGGATTTCACAGGGTAACTGATACGAAAGAAAGAATAGGATTCCTTGTGAATATGCATGCAGTAAGAAGAAGAACATAATTATTTTTTAACAATCATTTCATAGGATTGCTTTCTTAATTATATTACTTTTTGTAGACAGAAATTATAGAAGATGATAAAAGATTGCAGAGTGGTATAGATTATTATTTTTTAGAAGAAGACTGCAGTAGATTTAAAATTTCTTATCCATATTGCCCATACTTTTATATCTTGTGCAAGAAAGATACATATGAGGAAGTTTCAACTGGTTTAAATAAGAAATATGTTGATCTTATACATAAAATTGAGACAGTTTATAAAGAAGATCTTGATCTGGTATGATAAAATCAAAAAGATATAAAGAAAGATAAAAGAATAACATTTTATTTTCTGTATATTTTTAGCCAAATCATCTAATTGGTTTAAAACAGAAATATCTGAAACTTTATTTTTTAAATATAGTGGACTTGATCAGTGTAAAACGTGACATTATAAAAGCTGTGAAAGTGACCAAAGATAGAGAAAAGAGTCATACTTATTACACAGACATGTTGTCCACTGTGTTAAATCCAGATCAGAATGTTGTGGATTATAAAAAGAAAAGTATTGATTTTAAAGATAATATTCTTGATATTAGGTGAACATACAACTTATTTATATTTTATGTTTAATAAATTCCTTTTTTGTAATATTGGACATGTGTATGTTTGTAGAGAATATGATGTACCACATCATGTAAGGGTATCTATAGATATGAAGATTTTTTGTGGTAGCTGGTATTCTGTAAAAGCAAGAGACCGTGATGTGCCAATTATTACAAAGAGAGATGATATTATTGAACCAATTGAGCCAATAGTATTAGCATATGATATTGAAACTACAAAGCTCCCTTTGAAATTTCCAGATGCTAATATAGATCAAATCATGATGATATCATACATGATTGATGGACAAGTAAAATTTGTTATACAACATATTCTGCTTGATGTTTACTGAGTATCTAAAAATGTTCTATTGTTAAATTGCAGGGGTACTTGATAACAAACAGGGAAATAATCTCGTCTGATATTAAAGATTTTGAATATACACCAAAACCAGAATTTGAAGGTTTTTTTAAAATTTTCAATGAACCTAATGAGAAAGCTACGATAAAACGATTTTTCGATCATATAAATGATGTTCGGCCGCATATATTTGTAACATATAACGGTGATTTTTTTGATTGGCCGTTTGTAGAAACTAGAGCAGCTTTTCACAATATGGATATGAAAGACAGAATCGGTTTTTCGAAAAATCGTGATGGAGTTTATGTTACCAGACCAGCTATGCATATGGACTGTCTAAAGTATTATTAATTAAATTAAATTCACATAAAGTGTTGTATATAATACTTCAGTTTACAGCTGTCGATTTGTTTTACAGTTGGGTAAGACGCGATTCTTACTTACCTGTAGGATCTCATGGCTTAAAGGCTGTTGCCAAAGCAAAACTTAGATATGATCCAGTTGAACTTGATCCTGAAGATATGTGTAAATTAGCATCTGAGGAGCCTGAGACTCTTGCAAATTATTCGGTATCTGATGCAGTTGCTACCTATTACCTGTATCACAAATATGTTCATCCTTTTATTTTTGCATTGTGCACTATTATTCCTATGGAACCAGACGAAGTATGTAATGAACTATTAAGTATCCGATATAATGTACAGTGTATTATAAAAGATATAATTGAAATAATGTTGACTGATTTATAGGTGCTTAGAAAGGGATCTGGTACGTTATGCGAATCTCTTCTGATGGTACAAGCCTACCAAGCTAACATTATATTTCCTAATAAGCAAGAAACAGAGTTTAACAAGTTTACAAAAGATGGCCATTTATTAGATCAAGAAACATATGTAGGCGGACACGTTGAAGCTTTAGAATCGGGCGTTTTTAGAGCGGATATTCCCTGCCGTTTCAAAATAGTACCAAGTGCGATAGACGAATTATTAAACGGCATCGAAAATGCTATGAAACATGCTATAGAAGAGGAAGAAAAAGTGCCAATGGAAATGGTTACAAATTTTAATGAAGTAGTTGAGGAAATTAAAGAGAAACTGAAGGCCCTGAAAAATCAACCTTTAAGACTAGAGAATCCTGTGATATATCATTTAGATGTCGGTGCCATGTATCCAAACATTATCTTAACTAATCGACTTCAGCCATCCGCGATGGTCGATGAAACTGTTTGCGCTGCGTGTGATTACAATAAACCAGGAGCACTTTGTCAAAAAAATATGGAATGGATGTGGAGGGGAGAATACCGTAAGATAAAAAAAAAAAAGGCACGAATAAAATATACTTAGAACTGAGCATTGTTTTGTTTAAATTTTAGTGGCGGCAAGCTTAAGTGAATATCAAAGAATACAACAACAATTAGAAAATGAGAAGTTTCCACCGCAATTTCCTGGTGGACCTCGACGCGCGTATCATGAATTATCCAAAGAAGAGCGGGCATTACATGAAAAGAAAAGACTTTCGGAATATTGTAGGAAAGCTTACAAGAAAGTTAAAGTGACCAGAATGGAAGAAAGAACTCAAACGGTCTGTCAAAAAGAGAATTCATTTTATGTTGATACTGTGAGAGCTTTTAGAGATAGAAGATACGAATATAAAGCACTTACTAAAGTTGCAAAACAACAAGTGACAGCAGCTTTGGCAAAGGGAGATGCTGCTGATATTAAGTCTGCTAAAAGTCGAGAAATATTGTATGATTCTTTACAACTTGCTCACAAATGTATTCTAAATTCTTTTTATGGTTACGTCATGAGAAAAGGGTATATAATAGCTTTATGTTTTCTTTCATTTATAAAAACCATTAATATCTTAATTTGCTAATTTGTTTGAACTCTAGATCCCGATGGTTCAGCATGGAAATGGGTGGTATAGTCTGTTACACGGGAGCGCACATTATAATGAAAGCAAGAGAAATTATAGAACAAGTCGGTCGTCCTTTGGAATTAGATACCGATGGAATTTGGTGCGTGTTGCCAGCTTCATTTCCTGATAATGTAGTTATCACTACTACTCATAAAAAGAAGTCAAGAATCGTAATATCTTACCCAAATGCTGTTCTCAATTTCATGGTGAAGGTAAATCAACGGTGGATATAACTTCTTCCTATCTTAATAAGCGTTTCTGTTATTATTTTTATTTTCTTTGTAGAATGAATTTACTAATGACGTATATCACGAACTTGTCGATCCTGAAACTTTAACATATAAAATTAGAAGGGAAAATTCTATATTCTTCGAGGTAGACGGTCCTTATTTAGCTATGGTATTGCCAGCTGCAAAAGAAGAAGGGAAAAGGTTAAAGAAACGATACGCGGTTTTTAACTTTGACGGTTCTTTAGCAGAGTTAAAAGGTTTTGAAGTAAAACGAAGAGGTGAACTTCAACTGATAAAAATTTTTCAAACTTCTGTTTTTGAATCATTCCTAAAAGGTAGAACATTAGAAGAATGTTATGCGTCTGTAGCTAAAGATGCTGATTACTGGCTCGATTTTTTATACAATAAGTGTGTAGATATATCAGACCCGGAATTATTTGAACTTGTATCTGAAAATAAATCAATGTCACGTAAACTGGACGAATATGGTGCTCAAAAGTCCACGTCCATTTCTACTGCTAAAAGATTAGCTGAATTTTTAGGTGATCAAATGGTGAAAGATGCTGGATTAGCATGTAAATACATTATCGCCAATAAACCTCAAGGCGCCCCGGTTACGGAGCGGGCAATACCAGTGGCTATTTTTCAATCAGAACCAGCAATAAAAAAACACTATTTGCGCAAATGGTTAAAAGATTCTAGTTTACAAAGTGATGATATACGAGACATTTTGGATTGGAGTTACTACATTGAAAGACTTGGAAATGCTATTCAAAAAATCATTACAATTCCGGCTGCAATGCAAGGACTTCCCAATCCCGTTCCCAGAGTAAAGCACCCAGATTGGTTGCATAAAAGGGTAGTAGGAAAAAGTGCAACATATAAACAGAAGAAAATTACAGATTTATTT